TAAGCTTGCCATAGCTCACACTGATCTACAGGTTACAAAATGGCTGCATTCTTATTTTTCTGAAAGGAAACAGTACACTATTCATAAAGGAATGCACTCCACTTCATTGCTTACTGAAGCTGGTGTGCCTCAAGGTGCTGTACTTTCTCCTTTTCTGTTTTCCTTTTTTTGCACTATTTGCCTTACTCTGTTGAAACTAATTTTATCAAGTATGCTGACCACCTGACGATTTCTATTCCAGTTAACTCTTCTTTGGATTGCTCGAAATTAAATGGATTCTTGTCTGAATTTGGTAAATGGTCTCTCTCAAATGGTCTCAAACTAAACCCCTCTAAATGACAGACCGTTAATTTTAGCCTCAGGCGTAAAGAAGACTTATGTGAGCTGCTTAAATCTCATGACGCCTGCTGCATCAATGGTATTTCTGCAGAAAGTAAATCGAGTGTGAACTATCTTGGGTTGCGTTTTACTTCTGATCTTTGTTGGTCGTCCCATATTTTATTGACTTGTAAAAAATCTTTCGTTTAACTTATTACATGACGAAATTGAGGCTTTCTGGTATAACTCAACTGCTTCTTTTACAATTTATTGATTCCCGCATTTTACCTATTCTTCTACATTGTTCCCCATTAATCTTTCCTGGTCTTCTTAAAAAGGACTATGTTATGTTGTGTAGGGCTTTGAAGGCCGTCAGTAGGGTGAGTGGTGTCTCTGGCTCAACTGATTAACACTGTAGTTGATCGACATATAAATTCCTGCAAGCTACTAGCTACAGAAATTTTAACTGGCAGTGAGCATCCACTTCATTTACAGTTCTCTCCATATATCTCCTCAGGGAGGACAAGGAGAAAGAAACTACACAAGACTGCATGCTCGTACAGCTAAGTATAAGAATTCTACTGTACCTTACCTTGCACGCATATTTTATGGGGAAAAAGTGTTAGAACAGAAATCACACATCAACTTTGTGACAGTTAAAAATCTCATTTCAATAATTTAACTTACAATGCAAAATTTTCTCGTTTTAAATATTCTTCACACAACTTAATTTTTTATGATAAAACAATTCAAAAGGCTGCAAAGTAGTATGTATATACTTATATTTTATTGTTATTGCAATATATATTACCCTGAGAATTCCAAGTTGTACCACAAATGGTTTGGAATAAGGTGAATTATTATTATTACATAGGGAGTACCTGAAATGGTGACCGGCACCCCAGGTGATAAGCGCGCGCATGACTTCCAACAATGGGGGTGGTTACCAGCTCGGACAGAGCTGAGTGGGTTGCTGCAGTGTCAATAGTCAGACTGCAACACCCATCTCATCTGACAACCATGGCCTTACCCAGACTAATAGCCGTCAAATTCGAATCCTCAGAAGTTCTCACCAGAGTGCTACAGACGTGGTGCAAAGTCAAGAGCATCATAAGTGGGAATGTTCGCTGCCGTGAAAGCAGACCGAGAACACTGTGACAGTGGTAGGCAGCAGTTACTCCCAGTGCTCGGGCCACTGTCACCCTAAACCAACATATTGAGAGTCAGACCGACGACCTCCACTTAGCAGCAACTGCACCAATCAACCCGGGAAAAACCTAACTTGGCCGGTTCCATTGGAGCTGGTCAATCATTGAAAACCCTCACATCCAAGCTTATGCTAGTAGTTAACTCGGAGACATCTCACGTTACGAGGAGCACATTTAGTGTCTTTACAGCACCGTGACAGGACTTTGAAGTAAAGTGCCAGAGCTTCAATCCCTCTGTTACTACCTGGTCCAGAAAATCATAATCTTGATGGAAACAAGGTTGTCACCAGACACTGATGACACCAAAGTCAACATAGGCGACATGTTTCTGTTCAGGAGAGACAGAGAACGCAAGGACGGGGGCTGCAATATGCGTTGGCAGTTGGTTCAAAAGTTGACGGGCCACTGGCACCGCACCTACAGTGCTCCCGGACTCTACCTGTTGCCACTTCAAAGTCAAACATACTAGGTACCTAGTCGGAGGAGTTTACAGGTCCTCTAGTAGTGACTGGGATCACAACCAAAAACTACTCCAAGTAATATCCACAGTTTTGAACATGGAGTATGACCAGGTCCTGCGTCTGTTGGCGACTTCAAAGCTCTAACACTCAGCCTAGAGCAAAGTGGCACGACTCCGAGCCGGAAGTTCAATTGTAACCTGCTAAATCTCATCCAAATGGCCGGGCTGCAGGAAAAAATTAGCGGCAGCACCCACTGGGGGTCAGATAGTAAACCATCTAAACTCGATTACCTGCCAACTAGTGATCACCTTCTGGCCGAAGACTTCCAAACCCTTCGTGGAAGCAGTGGTCACGTCATGGTGGTGTTCAGCCTGGTAATCAGTGAACAGTTATTGCCGCAGGGACCTTGCCCTTACCTCTGTTACAGTACGGCAAACCACGAAGGAATGAACCAAAGCCTTTTGAGGGCTCCATGGCGAGGGGATTAGTGGCCCTTATCGGTTGACCAACACTGGGGGCCAGTTGGGGACATGATCAAGGCGGTGGTCTTGTAAAACGTCCGCTTGGCAGTGACAACACCCAGAAGGCGGACCTCATGGTGAAAACGATGCACTGAGCGCCCCCTAAAAGCCAAGAGGAAGGCATGGCACAAATGGAGAAACTCTAGGTGAGGGGACTATTGCGACGCATATAGAGCTCTACGAAATAGAAGCAACGTCAGGACGCGGGGAGGCCGGGGGTCGTTCCAGTCCAACCTGGCCGAGAAACGTGAGGCAAACCCTGAAAACTTATACCAGTTCACGGTGAAGAGAAAATTGACAAGCCAAGGAGCATGCGTTATGAAAGGTCCGAACGGAGAAAACCTCTCCGGACAGTGGAACGCCGAAATTTTAAGCACTACATTTGACACACGGCTCATTATTCCATCAAAAAGTATGCATACACACTGTCCAAACAGAGTGCAAAGTTATCCGACGCTGCAGAGTTACAGATAACTCTCGCCGTTGTTCTTGACAGCCATCAACGCAGAGCGCGGCGAAATCCTCGGGGTGTGACGACATTCGCCAATCTATGTTCAGAGAATCTGCAACTACCCTCAGTGACCCACTCTGCAGTCTGTTCCAACACTCCTTGGATGGACGAAAGCTCCAAGAGAGTGGAAACGGGCCATCCTCTCCCCTATCTTCAGAGGAGGAGACAGGCAGAATCCAAGCCTTCATAGACCCACAGCACTTCTGCCAGTTATATCAAAAGTTTTGGAAATTGTGATGGACGACCGCATCAGGGAATATCTGGACACGAAGCATGCACTCATTGACGCTCAACATGGCTTCTGAAAGGGCAGGTGATATGCCTCCAATCTCCTGACAGCCCATGATCACTGGACAGCGTGCTGGGACCTCAGAGTCCCGGTTCAGGCGATCTTTCTGGATTTCATAAAAGCCTTTGACACTGTCTCACACACCATCCTAATTTGCATAATAGTTTGGTTAGGTATCCGCGGCCGGGTGCTATCTTGGCCGCGGAACAACTTAGGCAGCAGGAAGTTCTGCACAAAAGCCATCAGGGTCCACTCAGCTAGGAGAAGATCAGCATCCGGTGTCTCTCAAAGAGCAATCCTGGGTCCATTGTTGTTCCTAATGTCCGCTAATGACCTCCAGCTGCGTATCAGACCTCCGATTCTCCTCTACTCTGATGACTGCAATCTATGGAGGTCAGTAACTCGCGAAGCGGAATCGAATACATTACTGAACGACCTCAGAACACTAAGGGAATGGGCAACGAATAAGAAACTGACATTTAACCTGGATAAGTGTCGGTCGATGTTTTTCCACAGTCCTGTTCCCCAGAAAGTATCCTACTATCTCGGTGGTTAACGTCTATCCCACACCACAGCAGGAAACGACCTGGGTATGATGGTGACGGGGAAATCGGACACCAATCGCAACGACTCAGGTGACGCCTTGAAAGCATACGGTGTACTACATATTATGCCCAGACAACTAGTTGCCCTCACCCCAGAGCTTCTCCTGAAGCTGTGCAAGACTTACTTACGACCCCACTTGGATTTCTATTACGTCCTCACTCCACCACAACTTAAAAGAGGCACGAACCTACCGGAGCAGGTTCAGAGGTAAGCCAGAAAAGGGGTTGTTGGGATCCTATGAAAACCAAATGGGGACTGACCGAAAGACCTAGGCCTGTACTCCCTTAGCTACTGAGGGCTAAAAGGTTACTTGATAATGGCTTACAAGATACTGGACAACCCAAGTCACCCGAACAGAGGATTACTGACGCATGCCCATTATGTTGATCCTCTTGGAAACCCTGATAGAATTGCCCACCAAAGGTCAAAACCTCATGTACGTTCACACTTCTTCTCCCTCCTAGTCATCGGGCACCAAAATGCACCACCAGCAGAAGTGATCTTCGTCCCATCTGCTGAAAGCCTCAAGAAAAGGTTAGACAGTCATGCAGAGACCCATAGTCTACCCATACGTAGCTGGAGTGTGAATTAAACAGAAGAAATCTACTGCTATCACGTCATTCCAACTGTTTTACCCCTACATCATTTTTTCTTCCACTGTGACCGTTTAAGCCCTTTTCATCCTTTCCACCTGCCATGAGTCAGGCTTACCCACCCAGGTTCTTCATATCTTTGGACCCCTTTTCGCCTAGCATGGGTGTAAGTAGATTACTCCATTTGTTCACTCCTCTTTTCCCTTTTAACCGCACAAATATTCTTTTCCAGAGTTTTCCCTTCGCTATCCCTAACTCTCTGTAACGACCAGCCCGGACAACTTTCTGGCAACTAGATATCTCAAGAAGCCAACGGTACCAAAATCCTAGGTGAACTAACCAACACTTAAACTCCTGTTCTGTATACCACAGCTATAGCAGACAAGTGGCTTGATCTACTGCATCAGAATCTGCCAAAGACCTGGGACCGTTCAGCAAGACCAAGAAGAAGTCAACTGGCTTACACTATCTCGTTAAACAGGTATTGGATATTGGATATTGTACCCGTCCATTCCAAAAAATCTGTTACTCCTGTAACGACCAGCTGATGATTGCTTGTCTTCCAACATACAGGTAGGTATGTTGTAGTGGAGTCGCGCTCGGAGGACTGTAACTCTAGTGGTGACCATGGAGATCTAGAGAGGGAAAACGTGGGCCGATGACCCAACAAGTATACGGGATGTACTTACATTTAATTATGAAAGATAACTGGCAAACGTCAGAATTTGAAAAATTAGAGTTGAGGAAGTCTTAGAACTAAAAGTATGAAATGGATAAATGAAGTTTTGGATGTTTTACACATCTTAGTTGAAGACGGAAAGGTATCGTTTCACCAAAGGCTATTCGTTTCCAACACCCAGCATCAACAACACGAGTAGAAGAAACTTGTAGTTTTTGGGCTATCGCTTCCAGGGCTTGGGGCTTGGTTCTTTTTGTTCGGTTGTACTCTTTCGATAGTCGTAGAGGTCCTTGCGTTTTCCTGTTTATAGCCTTGGAGGTGGTGATTGTCTATTTGAGGGTAGTTTATTTGCAAATTGTACCTTGGTTTGTTTTTTTTGGGGAGGGGGAGGACAACGGAGCTGTTAATAAGGAGTCAATTAACTTTTTGCAGTTCCCGTTGTTGTAAGCACCTGCAAGTAAGTGTTGAACGTTACTTAAAAAGTGCTAGAAGTAGGGTGAGTGGGGAATGAGAAAAATAGGAGTGGAAAGTATTTATGGAAAAATCAGTGTAACTGGTAATGATATGGAGGAAAAATTCGTCTTATTTCAGATGCTAGGGTTGGGGGATACAAGGATGGGGGGGGGCGCGTCATCAGTTGTTACTGACAAATATTCGTGATAAGCCATTTGCACTCACATACTCACCCAGTTGTCGTTTGAAGGAGTCGACCGATGTAGCTGTGGCCACTTCCCTTAACAGAGCATTCCGCAAGGCACGTATCTTGTGGCAGTAGAAGTTAGATCTCACTCTCTTCTTTGTCCTATAGTGGGGTATGCGATTGGGGTTCCCACGGGACTGTGGGTTTCGGACCGGTAACGTTGTCCTATTTAGGTGGTCCACTTGGTGAACGATCTTGTTGGCTGTTATCAGATCACACCATTTCCTTCGATAGCTTAGTGTGAACAAGTTGAGTTGTATGAGGCGTTGCGTATATGTTCCGCCCGCCATTCTGACAACCGACTTTGTTGCCCTTTTCTGTACCTTCTCGAGGGTATTTGGGTCTCTCCTTAGTAGTCGGGGCTGTCGTGTAGAAGACTTCTAGATGTGGTCTAACATAGGTTTTAAGTACCATGAGGAATAATTCTGAGGTTAACGATCCCAGCTGGCTTCTTAGAAAGTTGATGATGGCGTTCGCCTTTGCTGCCATTCCTTTATAGTTGCCAGTAGTATCAAGTGTGTCAGAAAATTTTAGTCCTAGGTCCTTCTTTGTAGATACCTTGGTGATTGCGCACTTGTTAAGAGTTTAGCTGCTTTTGATCGCCTCTGGTGTGCGAAGATACTTCGTTTTTCATTTCTCCAGGTTAAAGCTTAAGTCGTTTGCAGCTGACCTGGACTCCAGCTGCATCATGTGGTTTTGGAGTATCTTAGGTTCCTCTTTGTCGCCTGTCGTCCTCCATATTTTGATGTAGCCGGTGAATAGGAGGATAGGTGGGGAGATTTTAATGGGAAGGTCATTTATGAATAGTTAAAATAGGAGTGGCCCATGGCCCGCTCCTTAATAAACTCTTTTTCTTGCATTCATCCAGGTTGGTCGGATCCTGTTTACTTTAGTGCAGAATTCTTTGTCCCCTAGGTATGCTGTAAACCATGCCAGGAATGGTTAAGTGATACCCACTTTTGCAAGTTTGGCGAGCATGGTACTGTTTGTTGTCTTTATCTTACTCTTAGGAGTAATTTGAAGAGGATTTCTATGTTGATTTTAATTTGCAATTAAAACAGTCTGGTCCTATAACAACATGGAAAGCTTTCTTTCATCCGTTCACAATTGTGTACCTTATGGTATTATATGTACGTAAATGCTGTGTGGAAAATGAAAGGCTAAATATAAAAGCAATGCACTCTTGAATTAAATGACATGAATTTATATGCTTCCATCACATTTCAATCTTAGACAAGGATTCAAATACCAGTAGTTTGTTTGAAATTATTTTGCGTCATATCACGCGTTTCCAATGACTAAGAGTTTCATCTTAAGTGTAAAGTAATACTGAACTGGATGAATCCGGTACTTTGGTGATATTTTAAAGGAATGCTGGGAAATGTCATAATAAGACTTTTGGGTTGACTTAATAGTGCCATGGAACTATGCTTTTTTTTTCCTTTACTTCTGTACTCTTCTACGGTTTCTCTTGAAGTCTTGTGACCTTATTGGTAAGAAAAAAAAAGGTGGACGGCAGTTTTCGTCAATTATTTTTGATGACTAACATCAAGAAAAGGAAGAACGAGAATGCTTTTTATTTTATGGTAGACCTGGTACTAGATGGTCTTCTCCGGGATTTTTTTGCATTTAGCACACCCCAATTATGCTTGTATGAAATGTACAACTTTTTAATATCTCGGTGTCAAACATCATACCCCGTTCACTGTGCTACACTGTAGTGCTCACGTTCTAGTCAACCAGACGACTATCCTTTATTGCAGCTGCACCCGAATCGAATCCAAGTACACTCAGCAACCTTGGGCATGTTTGTTGAGCAAGTAATGACCGACACCTATCGTGTGAGGGTTAATGATACTGCCTAGTTGCCCAAACCTCGGTAGGTGGAGTGGGGCTCGGACCAGCGCCACATCGGTTGAAAGTCATCTCCCAAAATCAAGGAGCCATAGATCCACAGTGCAGATACCATCACTTTTCGACTCGCTATCCACCTACTTAACACACTTCAGTCTGTTGCACACGTACTTCTTGTTCTTCGGTATCAAGCTGTACTCTCGAGGGAAATTACTATTGATACCTGAAGTTTGAGTTCAGAACTCGCCATTTTGACCACAGTCAACATCACCAGTTTGGAAATGCACAAGACAGTGAAACACTTCTCGGACCCACAAACGACGGCTTGGAAATCACCTCACTAAACTAATGAGCCACAACTCCACAGGCTGGTCGTAATTATACTAAAAGCGTTTCAGACAGTAACGTCGGAAGTTGAGCTGTACTCAGTGGACTGGCTTGATAAGCTATTTTTCATCTCTTGAAGGCATACTTTCAGTCATCTGAAACTGGATTATTAGTGTAAAATATAGCCCATACCTAGGTCAGTAGTCAAGCGCTTTATAACTTTCAGGCAGATGTCTACCAAAAAGTACTCATTATACATAAATCCACAAAATCTTTCTTGAAGTCGAACTTCTCACCTGAAATCTGCAAAGATGACAAAGTCGCAGCTGGCAAATGTATCAGACTGCTTTTTCATATTTGAAGCAAAATAGGTTGGGCAGATTTAATTCTTTATAACATGATCGTAGGAACCTATTTGTATATGACTGTTGATCGACGTACTTTCTAATTTATAGGTCTCGTGGACTGTTTTAACGAACCGAGGGGATAAAAATAGGAATTTCAGACAAACCCTATCGGCTATGTTACGTTATTTATTTTAAAAGAAACTTCACTTGAAACTTTTTGCAGTATTATTAAATACCCCACCTCAAGTACTCTTTATTAAATTCTTGCTCAATTCTTTATGGTTCATTATTCTCATGTCTATGAATAAAATGAGTGATTTTATGTTTATGAATTATGGTGCGTTGTAGTTATAAAACTCAGTTTTATGTGCGTATAACCCATAGCACGATAAGCAAAAGTAGGAAACGGTTGGTCTTTTCATCTTATTCTACAGCGAAAGAGGAAGACTACCCCCCCCCCCCGCCCAAAGGATGACCGTTATCTCGTTTTGCTGTACAGTAGGTGACTCATAAGCGTAGTTAAAGCATAAGCAAGCGCATTGATATTCAAAATGCGGTATGCAGAAAGTCAGAATCGTGCGACAGTATCAAGGTTACATAGGGTTTCTCTCTATCAATTCATATGGGCTTACTTGTGGCTAGAACAAATTGGCGACAGGCAATTTGGTTCGTTTAAAAGTGACATCAGTCCACATCTTTTTCTGCCGTTATATTACGAACAACAGCTGTTTGCTTCTGGTGGCTTTATTGTATTAAAGGACCTTTCTACTAATACCAGATACAGTCTGTTTCCATCTCACTAATGTGTGACCACTGGTCACACAGCCTTTATATGTAATCATTGTAAATCTTTTCTGCATAAAACTGTAGTGTACACTTATTTACTTGTCCTCTAGTGAGATGTTCATAGGAGACTTATATGATTAGTCGTTTTCATGACACCCTGTTAATGAACGCAACTGTCCTAGTCGATTGTTGGCTAGGCTTTAAGGTAAACTACCTTCGTATTCAAAAGGTAACAGCTGATTACAGCATACTAAGTTTTCTCCTTCTTGGTGGAAAACGTGTGGGTTGATTTTACACTGAAATAAGATCAAAATCCAGTTCGATACTATCCTACTTGTAACAGTTTCGTGTATGTCGTTCTGCCTTCTGAAGGTTTTGTTCACGTTAATCTAGTCGTAGTCTAGACTACCATACTTGATGTATCACAATGCCTAGTTGCTGGCTGCATTCTGGATGACTTGATATCATCGCCACAATCGATTTCCACAGGCGTATTTTACTCGCCAGAAGTAATAAGGAAATCGTCTAACGGTATTACCATCATATAATCTGTCAATTATTTGAAAGTACGACTGAATAAAGTTTTGTGCTTGGATGTGACAAAACATTATACTTCCTGTAGTAACGTTTAGTAATAGATCTATTTGATCCCTCAAGCTATACTTATCTGGTATAAAAAAAGTATCCAGTCTGACATATTAGCTAACCTCTGCTTGGTAAATACCCACTCAAAATAGCTCTGAATATATGGATCAATCATTTTGTAGAACATAGGGTTGTATAGCGACTTAGGAACTGAATCCATTCTTCAGACTTGTAGAAGCTGAATTCATTGTCGAGAATTATATATTCCTTTGGGTGTCATTGTGTCGTTTTACTCATACTTTTTGTTTCTGTCCAGTTATGATGCGGACAGATGAGATTCTAGTCGGTAGGTCTGAAGGTTTTTAGTTAGCACTTTACCCCCAACCCCCTTTTTGTGAAGCTGTGGCTCATTTGGTTAGGTAGTTAGCTTTCGACTAGTCGAACACCGCTCCACCTACCGAGGTTTGGCCAGTCAAGTAGTATCATCAACCTACAAAAAATGGATGTGGCTCACTGTCTACTGCAACAACATGCAAAAAGCTTGAGTGAGTTTCGATTTTTTCGAGATTACATTTTTTTATTCTGAGACCCTCTTACCAATAACAACCTAAAAAGGAAGTCATGCTCTACTAACTTCGCTTTTTGTGCTGCGAATTGATAAAGCTGTTACATGTTGGTTAGAAGGCAAATTGATATCAAACTTCCCAAATCAAAAAGGAGAATACTTAAGGCTGTAAGCGACCAGTTAATTGACCCATCTACCGCTACTGGAATTATCATGCTAGTGAATGTGAAATTTCTTTTATGAACGGGAAATCCTCAATAATTTATAAAGAAAGGAGTGACGCCAAAGAAAATTTTTTCACCGATTTCATTTGATAAATTTACATGGTATTAATTGTTAGTATTGGAAACAAATAACAGTCTGTTATTTTCGGTAGAGTCCTTTCAATGATAGAGTGCCCAAGAGTAGAATAAAAAGATAGAATGTGACCAATACTGTGGCCATGGCTAGTGAGTTCATGTGATGCTTCAAAACACAGATCGCGTTAGAGATTACGGATTACCAGTCATTCGGTTTGTGAGAATACTTGCTAAAAAGTTAGTCACTTTTGGGTTAAGAAATATCACCAGCGTTAAATGGTTGTATGTATCTTACTCTCAAAAAGGTTGAAGACCCGATTTATTCGTCTCATTCTCAATGAAACGTATTCAGTGTCATATGTACTCTGTTCTTGGATTTTGAATGGATGCACTCTGGAACTTGAGAAATTACATCTTTCGAGCTGATTCATCTGGGGAATCGCAGTCGGCTTTCCCGTCCGACAAAAATGATCACTTTAAAGGAACTTCAGTTCTGCCAGGTGATTCCTACGGTAGGACTCAAGAAATTAAGAATATTCGCAAACCCCATTATCTGCATCTGTCTTTTCAATTTTAGGTAAATCTATTATTCGTGATCAAATCGTGTCTGCACTTTCGCAACACTCCCTACGCTGCTGTTGGTTGCTGACATTATATAAGGCTGTGTACGATATTCACTTATGGAAAAAGAACATCGTGATATTATTAGGAAGCTACGCGTTTATTTTGTGAAGAATATTACTAATTTAGAAGAGATCCTTGATTTACTTGAATCAACAATGATTATTACAGAAAATCAGCGACATTCAGTACTTTGTGGAACAACAGTTGCTGAAAAAATACGTAAATTTCTAGATGTCATAGTTAGATGTGGTCCGCTAGCATATAGCAAGTTCAAAGATGCCCTTCTAGAAACCAATCAGAAAGATATATATGAAGTAATGAACAAGGCAGAGGAAAAGGATTTTCCGACCACGAAAGAAGGTTCAGCAAAAGGTTCATTTGACCAAAGAAATGATAATATTATGATCCCAGACAGAGTCAGCTCACATCCCTTAACACCTTACACTGTAACTTCTTCCCCACATGGTTACGTCCTCATAATAAATATAGAACAATATACATGCGAGTCTGGAGTACCTAGTCGCCATGGTTCATCACAAGATGCAACCAAACTTCAGCGACTTTTCGAAGACTTCCATTATAGTGTTGCTGTCGTTAAAAACCCTGAAGGTGAAAAGCTGAAGAGAATAGTACAAGAATTCACCAGCAAATCAGAGCATAGTAATGTCCATGCTGGAGTTCTTATCATCCTCGCGCATGGGTTGGAACATCATATAATAGCCAGCGATGGTGTTTATGTTAGCATTGATGAACTAGTTAGTTGTTTCACTAACAAAGGGTGTCCTCTGTTGGCTGGAAAACCCAAACTTATACTCATACAAGCTTGTCGAGGTGAAGAACGCAGTCACAGTGGTCTCGTGAGAGGTGACTTCTCAGACTCTTTGTTGCCGAATTCTTGTGAAATTTCACTAGATCCTAGTTCTTGGTTATCGCTGCCACATATGAGTGACTGTGTAATCGTGTATTCCACCTTACCTGGATTTGTATCTTGGAGATCAGAGACGGAGGGTAGTTGGTATGTCAAAGTGTTTGTGGACGTAGTTACGCTGCATGGTCACAGACTTCATATTCTTGAACTTTTAACGGAAGTTAACAACAGACTTGTTTTAGAGGCACCAGAGTGTGGCATCAAACAAATATCACAACCAGTGACAACACTCACGAAGCCTTTTTACTTATCCACTCTGAAAAGCTGATTATGTACATAATGTTTTGCTACTGTTAATAAAATGTGTGCTGAACTGCTACGATGAAGTTTACTTTCTCGCTGCTAGTTTTCCATGTAATACCATACTGGGATGCTAGTTTTGTCTTGCGTGAACGTGGTATAAGAACGTATTTGTAGTATGAGCAAAGAACTTGATTCCCTTTTTATTATCGAAGTAGATATCATCATAAGTTCATATTTTCAAATAGATGTACTACTAAAACTTCTGCTTTTATGGTTAAATCAACCCACTTCCGAAAGCACTTAATATTCAACTTCATAGCGCTAGTATTCCTATGCACCTTTCTCTCACATACTCAGTGAACAACGATCGGAAGAAATTGAAGTCAGAGGGACTCGCACGTTTTGTTTGAAAACTGTATTCAACCATCCTTGTGCGATAGTGATATTCTATAGTGTTTCAGCTGCTGGCTTATATCTTGTGCAGTAATTCGTACTCCGGAATATTAAAGTTTTATCTCCCACTGATATAATTAGAGGATATACGATATCGCTATTGAAAGACTAGTATAAATAACTAACAGGGTTTAATTAGGATACTGGCTTGCGTGTAAACGTCTTCAAACGATTTATTACTGAAAGATGTAACAATAAATAAGTTCGCAGAGGTGTACATTCGTTCAAATTATCAATGTAAGCAAAATCAATGGTGTGCTAAGTCTATGGAGAGAAGTCAGCATATATAAATCTTAAGAATATCAACAAGGGTGAGGGCGTTTGCGTCATAATATTTTGTAACTAACCGTCCCTCCTAGGACTTTCATTTGAATAACGGCGAGTGGAATTATGTTTAACTCGTAAAGTCAAATGATCTCCGATATTTTCGTAACAGTCAATTATTCACGTAGCACCCCGACGTCATAGTTACCCTAAGTTTGTGTATAACAAATATGCTTCAGAAAATTGCAGAAAGTAATCGAATCTTATGCAATGTGTGGAAACATCCACAACTTTATCGACCTACGTCTAGTTAAATGCGTAGAGTCTTTACTAAAGATCACTTCATCCTTGAACTGTAACCAACGAGAGTAAAAAAGGATGAACAACGTATTGCTGAGATTAGTTACCAAAGTTTATTTGTTCATGTGGAGTTTTCTGGCTTCAGCTGTATATTTGTTAAAGTGAGTGGGGAAGATATGTGTTTCATTTGTTTTTCAAGGCTTATTAATAAAAGTTAGGAAGAGAAACACTTCTTCCAGATGCTGTACCCATAATCTCAAGATCCCCTATCGCTGATTTTTCGGCAGGTGATAAACATTTTAACCAGTAAGAGGTGAATGTGATGCCCATAGTATTTCGTACTTCCTCACATAAGCTATCCATACAAAAAGCCGCCAGCGTGTTAGTTGGCACAGCCGGTTCGCATACTACTACTGAATAACACTCCTATTTGCTAATAGTAAGTCTATCAAAGCTTTATCACCGATTTATCCAAGTATTTCCAAGCCGGACAGAACATTCTCGATCTGACTCGTTTATACAGATTTCGTCAAACACACTTAGACGCCCTTTTGATTACCATATTGGTCAAAGATCTGGAAACCCACTAAGTGCAACACAACAGCAGATATTTTAAAATTTCATATTTAAGATCATGCATAAATTACAAAGAAAATCCTGAAAAAAACTATGTACAACTTTCTGGTGAGGGATTTACATGTAGTAGGAATAAACTTTGAAACTAGTACTGTACACGGGCCATTAATTCCGAAAATGTTATGGGATGCCAGCCACCATCACTGGGATTAAATATATAGCTGACATTGCGGTCAAAAAATACTTGTAGTGATTCTAATCGATATACTTGTTGCCCTTCAAACATTCTGTTCGAAATAGGATGGAATAGCAAGCCACGCTGTGCTGCCACTTGTTCAACCTGTTTACGCAACGTTGCTGGAGGAGGAGCGATCAATGGTGTTGTGGAACCGAAAACTGATGGTGGAACGCTGGATGAACCTGCAGAATATCTTGTTACATCTGAAGGGCTCTGCTTTGAAATCGAAGGTTCCTAAATAAAAACAGCATATTACCGGAACAAATTGTTTGGGTTAGGAAGATTAAAATCGACAGTACTTTACCACTATATATATATATATATATATATATATATATATATATATATATATATATAAAGAAACTTAGGCACGGTAGCTTTGTGAACCAGCCACTCACCTGACCATTTTGTAGAGCAAAATTTGGAATCTCGTGGAAGTTAGAAATTCGTTAAAGTTTCCGGCCATATATTTAGGAAATACCGGTATGTCTTAATGCCATTGGTTAGAGTTATCTTTAATACACTGATAAAACAGGAACTCTTCTGCTCATGTAAAATCCATGAAACCTCTGCACTGACAATCCTTTTTAAAGCTGTTTGAAGCATTCTAACCCAGTTTCACTTATTGAAGCCTGAGCAACTAAGCATTATCATCAGCCCTCACACAATCAATTAATCATAATCAAAGTGTGGTACCTTATAATAAATCTGTAGCATGAGAGCTGCTACATCACGGCAAATAAAGAAATACTATGCAACGGTTTCGATGAAGGTAAGTCATGTATATCAGCAACTTTCTATCAATTAGTCTTGATTTTCTTGCGGACATCGACTTGAAAGTCAGAGTTACCCCACGCGGCGGGAATCAATAATCGGATTCTTCGTGGACTGAAATGACACCTGAGTCTGACGACCATTAGTTTTTTTTTACAACCTAGCTTAACTTTGACTAACATAGTTCGTCGGAGTACATGGTAATCCAACAAACGTCTCAAATACTTCTGTAATTTAAGGTTAACAACTTCATTAACTGACTTACCTATTTTTCAAAAGACTATGCGTTTAACCGCTACATCTCTCACGTCATGGTCCGGAACAATGGTGCAGAAACACGTTTTGGAACATCTGGAGCCTTATTGTGTTCTCCACCATCAGCGACCACATTTTAAAGCAATAGCGTAGGACAGCGAACTATTGCACAGTATGATAATCCTCTGATATGTAGTTGAACATTGCACAAGTTGGCAAAACGCAATCGACTCTCAAAAAATAGGCATGTAACGCTATCGTGCAAAAGACAGACAAAATCAACGTAGAACCTCGCACACATAAGTGCATCGGTCCAAGTAGCCACAGTAGTATACAAAGAACAAGTGGATAGAAAGAGTGATATCAAAGTAGATAAAGTTGTGTAAGGAAATAAATAATTTGAAGATAAAGTTTAGTGCGAATATTCAAGCTATAGAAAACGTCAAAGAGTGAATACATCGTGACCGATTTTCAGCCATGTCACCAAGAGACCTTGACCACTGTTTCTTCTTGTCTCGGGTACTCCAGCCAAATACTTTAAACTTCTCTACACGACTCAGGTTGATTCAGAGACTTTATGTCTTGTTGTCACATTTTAGTGTGGTCATCTTGAGCCTTCTTCCAACTTAATTCAGATTTTTTTAGCATCGCAAGACGGTGGCTAGGAAAGCTCATTACAGCTTCAAGCCACCTCAGTTACTGAAGGTTCACAACCTTGATGATTGATCCTCCTAACCTACATTTTTTCGCCTAACTTCTACACTCCTCGCACAGTGATTCCACTATACGTGAGCAATGGGACAAATACACAATCAAAAACTTGTAATATCTCCAACTCTTAACGGCCATGTCTCACAAACGCATAGCAGGAGAGAACGAACTGCAGCGCAGTATACTCATCCTTCAATAGCTGGTCGGATATCTCGCCAGCCAGCGCCATAGATGAAGCACGTTGGCGAATGCCGAAACAAGACTTCGGTATCCGAAATGAGACTTTGTCAGCAACTAATTAATTTTGATTGATGCAACTTCTCCAGCAGATGAAGGGATCAATGTATTCTGCCGCTTTTCTCATCCTTACACTGGAAGTAGGTGCAGACCAGTCCTGAAGTACCACCTTATATTTTACAGGTACAAAACGCATGCCAAACATACTCAGATTTATGCTGAACGCGTTCAGCAGACCCTGCATTGCGTCAGCGTCTTTACCTAGCAGGACTATCGTCTGCCTACCCCGCATCAACCAGACGCCATCCAAAGAGCAGATCAACCCCTCTTAAGTCAGACGTACCTATGGTTATGCCCATTAGTACATCTATAACGAAATTGAACAGAAACAGTGACAGTGAACATCTTTAGTGGACTCCACTAGTGGTCAGCGAATTCAGATGCCAACTTCCGATAGACCCTAACACAAGTGCTCGGGTTCCAGTACAGAGTTCCGATTGACGTAGCATACCTACTCAATACTCCCTTCATAGCCAGATACTGCCACAACACTTCACGGTTGACAGAGTGAAATGAGACCTTCAGGTCAAGAAATATGGCAAGTGACGGCCACCCGTAAGTATGTATGTGCCACAGAACCTATCGTAGGGTAGAATTATGGTTGATGCACCCTTGTCCAAGTCCGAGATCTCCCTGGTTTTCTCGAGCTCCAGTTAAGCGTCGGATAACTGTAGATCCAAAGATCTTGGGCACAATGTTACTGAGACAGATTCCCTTTTGGTTGTCACGAGATTTCTCTCGCTACATACAGAACGGGATGATAAGTGAAGTACACCAGTCTAACGGCACTACTGATTCCCATATGCTGCTCAGTACTTCCGCTACTCTAACCATCAAATTCCAGCCTCCTTTTAAAACGTTGGGTGGTAAAACACCAGGTCCTACTGCCTTGGATTCTTTTAGCCTTCCCTACTTCGACGAGAGCTGGAGGCTCGATATCGACATCCGATTCGGGTTCAGGCTGATGATGAACAACTGGAGCGTTGCTGTGGATCAGCTGAACTGTGCTTCGGAGTGTTCCATTAAACGTTCTAGCCACCTGTCCTCGGAAGTTACCAGCGTTTCATCCTTATTGGTGAATAACCACACTGACATTGTGTATACATATCTCAGACATATAGCATATACCCATGTCTCGAGATTTCAAATGCATAGGGTTTGAACTTTGAAAGCAGCGTAGTTTTAGAAGAGTACGAATAGTGTTTTGTTGGCTTGAATAGTCAGCAATGGTTGCAGAGTGAGAGGCTGAGCAAGGTGTAAGAGGTTTAATGTTGATAACAGATACTGAATGCAAAGGAGCAGACGGAGGTAAAGAGGATAGGTTATGTTTGATTGGATTTCGCATCCCACCAAAAGTGTACTTCTGTTTGACAATTCCAAGGACCCCACACTATGGAAGTTGATTCTGCAGGTATCCGAAGGAGTAAAAGACTTGTGTGACCACAAAGTTCATGAAACATCTGCTTGAAGCTTATCACGACCATCCAATAAAGCACTGTTGGTTTGCGATTCGGTTGTTTCAACACCGAATAAGAAAAACGCATAACGCCGGTACTTGAAGACCATGGGGTAGAGAGGAGTGTGCTATTTTGAGGGCCAACACTTTCGAGCCTTCCCTTCCCATAAGGAAGTCAGCATCAATGTTGCCCTGCTGGTCATCCAAGGGATACATCTACTGCTGTCACATCCCCAGCCAGCAGTACGACTGAGCCCTTGTACTCCTATCATAGTGTAGAAATTTACACTATAACGACAGCTGTTTTTTGTCAAATCACTGTCCAACAGACCTTTTTGGTATGGATGGACCTTGGGGGAAGAAGCGTTCCAGCTAGTGTAGCTTGTTGAGTCATTGTGATATCCAAGCCTGACCAACATGTCAGTGCAGAAGCTATCTATTATTATTTTCTCCATTATACTTTTTGTGAATTACTTGTACTACCCAAAACCTTGTAACGTTTAACTAAGAGTAAATTAAACTGATCAGCACTGAAATAGATCAACAAAGTAAAACCTCAAAATTGGTTAACCTTAACTGACAGCACTGTCCTTAAACCTATGTATGGAAACATAACGAATGTGTGAAATATTTACTAAATAACTTACTTGAGGCGGCAAACCCCGCATAGACCGTTCCATCATTGCCAATGCTTTCGTCAGAGCATCTTTTACACTTGCATATTCCATACACTCGGGTGGTAACTGACCTTTCCAACCAGCGTACCAACGACCAACTTCTTGGTAGATTTGACCGGCTGCATTGTGATCACCACGTTGCCTAGCTTCTACACCTTGACTCAACCAATTCGAAAGAACAGTTAGCCAACGAGACCAAAAATGATGTTCCAGTAAATTTACAAGTACAGCGGGTCCGATTAAATCTGCCCAACGCATTACCCAGTTCCAAGGATCCATATTTTGCTTGGCTGGATTGAGCTGAGTGGTTTTAAACAGAAAATATTAGAGTGGAAAACCGAAACATAAAAAGCTAGCCACAAGAAATATGACTAAATTATTGCAAAATGTTAGAAATATCTAACATGCAACATGAGCAGGATTTCGGCATTATGTTAGAGTACAATCGACAAGCTGCTTTTTATGTATCACACAGTTAAAACCCTTTGTATACTGATGACCCTGATATGATGATTATGAGTAGTACATCCTGCTTTAAACATCAGCAAGTAACACTGTAGTGAAATTATCTAATAATAATCACTTCATTCCAAACAGTTTTAATCCATTTGAAATTCTCAGTACTTAATACTGCAACAAAAGTGCACGCTTTTACATTTCAAATAGTGTTAATCATAGCAGTTTAAATTGAGTAAGTGGTATTAGTAACTATGACAACTATACATGGATCGTAGGAATATTAAAAAGACTCGTTATTTACTGTAACGAAGTTAAAACACTTTCTTTCTTTACATATTATGCATTTTAGATAAGGCACGCTTAATTCTTGCGTTCAAAATTATTTGTCCCTTGGGTTTCTAGTGGAACATAGGGCTTCAGTAGCACGTCGCCATTTCACTCTGTTCTCTGCAGTCTTTTCAACCTGCCTCCAAGACTGCCCACAAGCTTTCATTTCTTTCTCACACCATCTCCGTGACAACCTTGGACGCCCGACATGTCGTTTCCCATGCGGGTGCCACTCGAGAACCTGGTATGTGATGTCCCCAGCCAGTCTTCTCAGCGTACGCCCAATCTATCTCCACTTTGTTCTGCATATTTGTTGGGCAACGGGCTCTTGGTTGGTTCGTCCCCAGAGCTCCTTGTTCCTTATTCTCATTATTCTGACCATCTGATCTTCAGTAACGAGCATAAACAGCTGTGGATGAATGTCTGTAGTTTGTTGGAAATCCCTTTCGTGGCGTGTCAAGTTTCTGAACCATATAGAAGCACTGACTTCACTGAATTAGCGTTGAAGATGTTGATGTTGTTCACGCTTTATACTGAGTGCAGTAGATCTCCACACTGGTTTCAGGTTAATGAAGGCTTGTCTTACTTTTCCGATCCTGGCTCCTTTGACGTCCGCATCTCCGCCGCCGGTAGTGAAACGATGCTGCCTAGGTAGGTGAAGGAGACTACTTCCTTGAGCTTTCTTCCGTTCATGGCGATAGGTGCTTGCTGTTGTTGTCAGTTGAGTATCTGCATCACCTCTGTCTTCTCTACACTCACTTGAAGCCCCGTCTTCGCTACGTCACCTCTTCTGCCAACTTGTCGGGTTTTGTCTGTAGATCTTTGAGTTTGTGTGACAAGACACTAGACATAAATCGTCACCGGCGAAATCCAAATCTTCTAAAGTCTTTCCATCGGTCGAGCCAGCGTATGCCCATCTTCTCACTCCTCGCTGTTTGCTGCATGATCCCGTCCACCACAGTCAGGAAGATCATCGGTGACAGTAAAAAGCCCTGTTTTACTCCTGTTCAAATTTCAAAGGCGTCACTGAGCTCTTCATCGTGAATCATTTGGCATGTGGCGTCTTCATACAGCTGTTGAATGAGGTTGATAAAGGTTTGTGGCACTGAAACCGTAGTGTAGAAGCAGCTGCCTGCCAAATTACTTTTCGGTCGACGCTGTCGAAGGCCTTTCCTAAATCGATGATGTTGAGGTAGCGAGTTGGCTGCCATTCTATGCTCTGTTCTATAATGGTGCGCAGCGTAGCGTTCCGAATTAATTCGCACACGATTTGTACTTCTTGAAGCCAGCCAGTCTGCTCCGGTCGTAACTTTCAATGCAGAGCATTTTTATTCTCTCCAGGATGGTGCGAAATAATATTTGAGTGGTCAACCTGTCTTTCCGTTGTTTCTCCCCTCTCTATGGTAACTAAGTTTCCATCACTACCTCTCATTGGTTTCGTCTGTGTTGATCTCCTCCCTCCCAGATAGTAACCTGGTTGTTTGATAGTGTTGTCAGGTCTCTCCTACCCGCAGCCTGTTTTGCTCCACTTGCCAGTGTGTCGTAGAAGTGTCTTTTGCCTTTGCGTGCACTCTTCTTCACTTCTTCATCCAGTGAGATGTTTTATATAGCTTGTGTTCAGTTCCCCTTTTCGTTGTTCATCCCTGCACTGCACTGGTCCATCTTCTGTTTCACCCTCTTCCTCTCCTCTATCGGCTTCCATGTATCCATCGAGATACATTCCTCGTCCTGTTTCTTCTTCCTTCCCAACACGGTTGTGCAGGTTTCCTTCCACATCTCTTCCAGAGAGTTCCAGCGTTCTTCTATGCAGGTTTCCTCGGTGATGTTGTCTAACTTCTGCCATATTTTCCTGATGGCTGACGTGAAGATGCCCTTCGCAGTTTCTCCCTTCAGTTCAGTTTCTGTTCTGGGTGTTGAACTTGAGATGTGGTCTATCAACAGCTTCTTCTTCGAAGGATTCCAACTTCATTTTGAAGGTAGGTTCCTTGCACTAGACAGTGAGTGGTGTGAACCTACATCTGCTCCTCTTCTCCATCTTGCCTCCAGTAGGCTGGCTGCGTCTCCACTATCCTCACATTGAGATGAAGTCGATCTGATTTTAGTGTAGTGTGTCCTGGTGTCTGGTGAAATCAAATCCATGTCGCTTTGTGAATATCCTTGTGTGTACACACTGCCTCCGATCACCAAATCATTACCGGTGCAGAAGTCTGCAGAGAGTTCTCCATTCTCGTTCATTTACCCGAGCGCTTCTCGACACATGGTTAGTTCTGTTCCTGTGTTGTTCGCTCACAGTTTGGCATTCATGTCGTCCGTTAAAATTTTGATGTCGCCAACTGGAGTCTTGTCTATTACTGATTGCAGTTGTCTATAGAACTCCTCCTTCTTCTCTTGATCTGCATTATTTATAGGTGTATAGCGTAGCGTTGAATGATTGTGACCTTCCTTCCTTTTGAGTTGAACCTTGCTGTCATGATCTGGAAGAGATTGGTTCTCACTGCATGAGAGCCTTCGATGGTGTTGAGGACATCATGATAGCCACTCCGTGAGTGTGCTCGTGGTTGTCGTCTGGGTGGCAATATTGGAGTAGATTATTGATTCTGCAGTTGACAGTTGAGAGAGTCGACTTCCATTCCATCTGCTTTCGCAGATTCCCAGCCTAGCACTTCTATGCCATACCTTCTCATCTCTTTGGCAATCTGGGCAGCCTTGCTAGGTTCATACATGGTGCGGACATTCCATTTCCCCAATCTTACTTTCGCTTTCATCGAGAGAAGACACATCGGTCAATTGGCTGGGATGAACAACGAAAAGGGGAACTGAACACAAGCTATATAAAACATCTCACTGGATGAAGAAGTGAAGAAGAGTGCACGCAAAGGCAAAAGACACTTCTACGACACACTGGCAAGTGGAGCAAAACAGGCTGCGGGTAGGAGAGACCTGACAACACTATCAAATAACCAGGTTATTATCTGGGAGGGAAGAGATCAACACAGATGAAACCAATGAGAGGTAGTGATGGAAACTTAGTTACCATAGAGAGGGGAGAAACAACGGAAACGATGGATTGACTACTTCAAAAAGCTCTTGAATCGACCACAACTATCACCTGCACTTCGTCCAGGAATACAACACGCAGCCACAGAACTACCAGTGAAGAAAAATCCTCCAACAAAAGTCGAAGTCCTGAACGCCATAAAGCTACTGAAGTGCAGGAAAGCAGCAGGATCAGATGGAATCCCGCCAGAAGCTTTGAGAAGAGACGCAGGGACAACAGGGGACATCCTCACACCACTATTTCAGAAGGTCTGGACGGAAGGGAAGGTACCTGCAGATTGGAGGTAGGGCTATCTTGTCAAACTCCCGAAGGGCGACCTAAGTCTTTGCAAGAACTGGCGCGGAATCACACTCCTCTCCAACCCAAGCAAAATATTAGGCCGCATCATCCTAGAGGGACTAAAAATGCTCTGCATTGAAAATTACGACCGGAGCAGACTGGCTGGCTTCAAGAAGTACAAATCATATGCGAATCAATTCGGAACGCTACGCTGCGCACCATTATAGAACAGAGCATAGAATGGCAGCCAACTCGCTACCTCAACATCATCGATTTAGGAAAGACCTTCGACAGGAGTAAAAGAAGATTGTCTGCTATCACCCATGATTATCGTGATTGTGGTCGACTGAATCATGCAGTAAACTGTGAGGAGCGAGAAGAGGGAGATACGTTGGGCCGAGGAAAAGAGCCTAGAAGATTTGGATTTTGCCGACGATGATTAATGTCTGATGTCCACAAACTCGAAGATCTACGGGCAGCAACCAATTAGTTGGCAGAAGAGGCAGGGCAGCGAAGACGGCACTTCCTTCAGGTGAACGTAGAGAAGACAGAGGTTATGAAGGTACCCAAACAACAACAACAAGCACCGATCACCATCCATGGGTGAAACCTAAAGGAAGTAGTCTTTTTCATCTATCTAGGCAGCACCGTTTCAACTACAAGTGGCACAGATGAGGACGTCAAAGCAGCTAGGATCGGAAAAGCAAGACAGGCGTTCATTAACCTGCACCAGTGCGGAGATCTGCACTCAGCATAAAGAACAAGATCCGGATTTTCAATACCAACGTCAAGTCAGTGCTCCTATTTGGTTCAGAAACTTGGCGCGTTACGAAAGGGATTTCCAACAAACTACAGACATTCATCAACAACTGCCTGAGCTGGCTCGTTACTGAAGCTCAGATGGCCAGAAAGAATAAGCAACAAGGAACTCTGGCTGGCTGGCAACGAACCAACCAAGAACACATCAACAAATATACAGAAGAAAGTGGAGTTGGATTCAGCATACAGTTAGAAGGCTGACTGGGGACATCACGCGTCAGGCCAGGTCGTCGAATGGAACTCGTATGGGAAACGATGAGTTGGGCGTCCGGGGGTGATACGGAGGAGACCGTGTGAAGAAGAAATGACAGCTTCTGGGCTGTCGTGGGGCCAGGTCCAAAAGTTTGCAGAGAACAGAGTGCACTGGAGACGTGGTACTGAAGCCCTATGTTCCACTAGGAACCCAAGGGACAACTAATAAATACTCATCTTGTGCACTTTTAAGGATGTAGCAGAGCTATGCATCAAAATGTCTGTTCGGCAAAGAAAGGAAGGTAACCATTTTTTTTAAAGCCAGAAAATAAGAAATTGATCGTTTATAATGTTTGTCTAATGATGGTTAATGATGGCTTAATGATGCTGATTTTACTTGATCAGTGTATTATTGAGCCTGATGGCATTAATATTCATACTATCTGGATGGAAAATATCAGTTAGGAACCCAAGAGACAAATAATAATAATAAATTTGCCCAAATGATTAGGACGATATATAACACAAATGCAAGCCATTTTGTCGTTGGAGAGGTTAAAGCATACGTAGTTGGAGATGGACCAATTTATATTACTAGATGTTACGACTACCCCCCCCCCCACACACACACACACACACGTATACCACCATCACCACACTTCTTGGAAACACATCGGTCTTATCGAAATGACTTGAAAAGATTTAGAGAAACCAAATAATTATCCTACAGATTATGAAGCCAAGTTTCCTGCGGAGTTATTTTACATCCATGTTACGATAAATATTTGTGGGAAAGAGTAACTGAAGGTAATCAGCTTTTTGAGAGAAGACCTAGAGCTTGTGCTAGTTATTTCCGGTATAGTTAATTGGTCCATAATTGTACGCTTGAGCGCCCGTTGCCATCCATCATGGTGCTTTCTCTTGGTTTTTCTTTCAACTTGTAGAGTAATAGATTGAAGTGATTTCAAAAATCCATGAGAGCGTATAAATTACGACTAAAAGACTCAACCGAATGACTAAAACAATGTAATGAGGAGAAATTTGATACAATATGTTTCATAAGAAAATTAGACAGCCCAACGTTCAAGGAGGCCACTTACTAAGCAACCCGCCAACATCCTTAGGCTACAAATAATTTTCATCGTTTCAACATGCAGCGTAGTTATGCTTCAACGTCCTACCTTCATAAAAAGAAACAGTATTACGATTCCCCTACTAAGAATGACAGGAGTAGACAGCTCATTACACATCAGCATTGTTTTCGCCATCTTAACCTGAAGTAATATAATAAGCAAATTATCAAACTATTGCTCGAAATACTATTCATTTCAATGAAGACAGTATGATTACCGAAAAGTGCATTGTTTTACCTAAGCAGACTGCACATCGATCATGCAACTGCAAGATAACTTGTTGGATAACATATATTAGTTATAATTCAAAAATTTTGAAAGGTAAGCAGTATGAAAGTGTTGGCTAGCCTTACATTTTTCACCTACTATCTGTAACCTGCGTATTCCAAGCTTGATCTGATAGGTGACTATGCACATGATCACATTTTGAATAATCAACAAAAATAAGTGATCCAAAGTAAAAACTACAAACAGTATCATATTGCAACTCGAGATGGATGCCTACGTTCTGACTAGACATACACTTTGTATATTTTAAACAATCTTGTTAGTTTACATGACGTTTAGGTACAGCAATCCAAATAAAAGCTAAGAAATTTGAAAGTGTGAATAGATTTCGTAAGGCTTGTGTTGATCAATCCAAGTAGAAAATACCAATTTTGAAACGATATCAAAACATAAAGACCAACAGACAAAAACACCCACTTGGAACTGTTGTAGTGCCAAAGATAACTTTGGTACCACATGGCGACTAAGGAAAGCCGCCATAGATGTTACTGGGAAAATGGTTCGCCACGGCAGGAGAACTGATCGGGCGGATGCATCGCTAGGGTGCCAGTTGGTGAGACAGTTTCCTAACTTTTGAAGAACCACATCGTGTACACAAGAAAGACGTTCAATCCCACCGAACCAGGGTAACCAAGGATGTAACCAAATGTGAACAGGTATAGTATCCGTCAAAGGGTTCCATGATGAAACAGCATCCTAAAAGTAAAATTTATCATGGTATGCGAACTTCATGGATAGTGGACAGTTATAATGTTAATGTCTTGGAGCAATAGAAAAGCGATTATGTTTGCAGGATAGATTTAATTACAATAAATATTGAGACTAATACACATATATGCATTTCAAACGGGAATTAAACAAGCAACAATACTTTAATTTAGTTTGGGTTCATAAAATTCCCACAGATAAATTTTACTTGTTAACAAGACATATATTTTCAGGCAGAAATCCACTGCATAGTCTGTGTATGGCATAAACTTTTACCTTTGAAATCCGTAAAAAACTAATCCAACAAGACAGCCCTTCAAAAACTCTCACATAGGCGTTGGTAGAGCCAATTTTTCTCTTCAAATACTCTCATATGGTAAAGCATTTATTTATGGTTTCTATTCAACAAAACTAGTTTGATAAACTTTTCTCTGCAGCTACCATCTACTATATATTCAGAATTGGACATATTAATATAAGGGCACTATGATAGATTTTTTATGTCATATAGCATACAGTGTCAAAGTTTAATTCCCTGGATGACATTCCGAGCAGAATTTAATGCTCATATTCATATCACTATGATATGAGCTATAAATTTTGTTCGGGACGTCATCCAATGAATTAAACTGTCACTGTGTGCTATATCAAATAAACAATCTAATATGGATTCAAAATTGGAGCTGAATCAATCATTACCTGCAACTTTGGGAGAATCAGCTGATCAAGTATTCTGCGCTGCAACATGTCAACTGGTAATAAGGGTTGCCAAGCTTCTAAAACTTCCAATAAAGGTTCGCAGTCTCGAGGATTCCATTCATTAACTATAGTGCGACGTATAGCACTTAGCCAGCTTGTTTCGAGTACAACATCAAATGCACATGAATTTTGGAAAAAGTCTCTCCAACGAGTTAGTAAATCAAGACAGAAAGTTGGATCCTGAGATAGCAAAGAGTGTAAGAAACCGTGTCAAACAACAAGCAATCAGATTTATACGATAACTTTAAGCCAAAAAACAAGATCCAATGACAGCTTTATAAACTATTATCATAAGGAATTTGCTAATGACCGAATGAAATTGTCAGAGTAGGAAATAATTGCACTTAAAAGCTAACATAGAAGGTTTATGGAATATCTAACAAGAATGAAACGCGAAATTGCATTCAATGGACGCTGCGGAAAGTGGAAATCTTAAATTCTGAGAACTTCGACTTGCTTCTGTAAAGCATGGCTACTGTCGCCTTTATGAGATGACTTTTCAAACAACGAATATTGTATTGCAAGTTACACGAAAACCAGTAACGACCAGAATAGTAGCAACAAAATATCGTTGAGTTTCTGAATGCCCCAAATCTCAGAATAACATATCGTAATCACCCTCTAATATGGTCCAACGATGAAGGATAAGTTGCCAAGACTGAATAGTTCAGTGTGCGTCAACCAAATTACCTGCTCCTGAGAAGCTAGGTATGTAGGCTGGTCGTCTACACCTATTTTTCGCCGCATTCGAGAACATCTCCCAATATGGCTTGGTAAAGGGTAAAGAAGATCAATTATTATTATTATTATTATTATTATTATTATTATTATTATTATTATTAGTCCCTTGGGTTCCTAGTGGAACATAGGGCTTCAGTAGCACGTCTCCAGTGACCTCTGTTCTCTGAGATCTCTTGAACCTGGTTCCACGACAGCCCAGAAGCTCTCATTTCCTCCTCGCACGATCTCCTCCATGTCACCCTCACCTCGGACGTCCAACTCGTCGCTTCCCATGGGGATTCCACTGGAAGGCCTGACGCGTGATGTCCTCAGTCAGCCTTCTCAGTGCATGGCCAATCCATCTCCACTTCCTCCTGCATATTTGTTGACTGATAGGTTCTTGGTTGGTTCGTTCCCAGAGCTCCTTGTTGCTTATTCTTTCTGGCCATCTGATCTTCAGTAGCGAGCGTAGGCAGTTGTTGATGAATGTCTGTAGTTTATTGGAAATCCCTTTCGTGACGCGCCAAGTCTCTGAACCATACAGAAGCACTGACTTGACGTTGGTGTTGAAAATCCGTATCTTGCTCCGCATGCTGAGTGCAGAAGATCTCAACACTGGTTTCAGGCTAATGAACGCCTGTCTTGCTTTTCCGATTCTCACTTTGACATCCTCGTCCGTCCAGCCTGTGGTTGAAACAGTGCTTCCTAGATAAGTGAAGGAGGTTACTTCCTTTAAGTTTCTCCCGTTGACGGTGATTGGAGTTTGTTGTTGTTGTTGTTGATGGTGGTGGTGCGGTATCTTCATCACTTCTGTCTTCTCTATATTCACCTGAAGTCCCGTCTTGGCTGCCTCTTCTGTCAACTTGTTAGTTTTTGCCTGCAGATCTTCAAGTTTATGTGACATTAGGCATAAGTCATCGGCGAAATCCAAGTCCTCTAGGTTCTTTTCCGCAGTCCAGTGTATCCCCCTCTTCTCGCTGCCTACTGTTTGCTGCATGATCCAGTCCACCACAATCAGGAATATCATGGGGGATAGTAGGCAACCTTGTTTCACTCCTGTCTTCACTTCAAAAGCATCACTGAGCTTCCCATTGTGAATTACTTGGCATGTGGCATCTTCATATAGTTGTTGAATGAGGCGGAAAGAAGATCAATGAACTCATCTATTTTGCATACATTTTTTGGTCGATACTGGACATTCAGCCTCGAATACCTCATCCAATAGTAGTCACAAGATCCAACCAAACCTTGAGAAACGTTTACGTCTCCACCTACTTACTGTATGTTGCAGAAGCCTTGTCAGTTTGTTAAATCTCCTCTACCATAGCCCTAACGTGATTAACTAATAAAGCATCTCAATGGCTTGAACACTGATTAGTCTCATGTCAAGCTGCCTCATATGTCTCCAGTTTTTTTAATTCATTTCAAATTCTCTTACTTTGCTTCACAGTATTATGAATGTTTCCGTTTCATTTACAATGCTTGATTATCACTCTTATAACACAAACTCAATTTGTTACCTACTGGTATCATGTTCCCCTTAAATAAACAAATAACACTTACTTACATATGTTCCCATTTATTCTGCATATTTTGCAAAATTTTACCCTACTAACAGGAAGACGTTTGAATACAACTCACTATCGTTACATCTTGTTAGAAAAAGACTACAAATTATATATATATACGATTTTTTTCTAAAATAAATTAGTTGCAAAGGATTTCCTTCGCTGAACTGCTAGGTCTATGATTTAATACGAGGTTTTCCAATCTACAGGTGAATTATCCTCATTACTGTTAACGTCCTATACTATATGTTGAAGCTTTGCTTTGAATCCCCAATCCTCATGTTAAAAAAGTGTTTAGCTAGCTATGTAGATGAACTGTGAAAAGCAACAGGTCACCACTCAGAATATTTCGACATTTATCATTTACAGCCATAATAACTCATTACTTACGAAAATGCTCAGTTTACAGGTTACCAATCTGATGGCTGAATAATTACATGAATGATTTTAAGATAAACTTCGTTTTCCCAATAACAGTTACATACCATCTCTTCGCTGTACTACAGCAACTTAATCTGGTACGTGTTTATGTACTAGGCTATAAGCCACGATTGTTGTGTGAGGGCTTACGGTTGCCCAGGTTGAAGGAGGTGGAGTGGGATTTGAACCTGGAAGTTGAATTCCTAAGCCAGTGGGGAACAGCTCCATCTTCTAGCTACGATGCTTCACTTCATATATGATGCCAAAATTCTCAGAGAATTTCAGTCTGAGAAACAAAAGAATGCTTGCTACCCAAATGGATCTGAAAACCATAAATAACACTTTACCAACTTTCTACGACTGAGGAAATTACTACCTTAAGGAAAGAATAAATTAAGAGCAAAGAAGAAGAAAACACAACACATGAAGGTACGATTTCGATTTGGCATGTCATCATCCACATTGCTGATAAGACATAGTTTTTGAAAAAGTATAAAATATTGATCTCTGGCAAGGAAGGGGTTCTTTAGCAATTTTTAAAAAACATAAAGAAATGACCGAAATTTATGTTGAATAATCTCCCAAAAGTAAACATATTCTTATTATTCGTATTAACAAGCATTAAGTAACCTCCATGAATCTAACCACAATTATAAAATTTGCGTAAAATGGTTAAGAGGTGAACTGATAAAGTTTTACGGTAAATTTATCGTCCCACATAAGCTTTTGTTTTCAAAATGCTGGAAATTGGGGAAATTTACATCTGAGTATTTCAGACATGACAACTCGGACTAGTTTTTAGGCAACGTAAACACTGTATACCCCCAAACACATTAACAGATTCTACTAATCTTAGAGTTAAATACAGGTAAAAAGTAATACATCTGATTACGTTCACTGCTACAATCACTTAAAAGCCACTGACGTTAGGGAAATGCTTGCTTCAGAGATAGACTGTATTAATGCGACAGATCAAAATCTATCAAAATGATACAGGTGGTAGTCGTCCGATTTACCGCTAAATCTCAGATTTTTAATTCCTCCTTATTCAATTGTTTTCTCCTTACTTCTTATTCTTGTTGCTTCCGTAGTATTTCAATTTTTACGTTGTTGCGTAGCTTGGTATTTTGAGCTGGAGCACTTCCTTTGTTTTTGAGAAAACAGAAAAGCTGCTCGGAAATGGGCGAATTCTCCAGGTCGGAGAGCTTTCACTCAAGAGCAGCTTTTCTGCTCACACGAAAGTTTACGGTGGAACATCTTGCCAGTGTTAGATACAGACCAGTCATCAAATTTCCTGCTGGATGGAAGATTGCACAACAAAGTGGCGGAGAAGTGGTGTGGATAGTGATGTTTAGAGGCATACAACAGATTAACCTAGTAAAACAAAGTAATTACAACTCAACAACAAATATCGGAACCAATCATTGAAGTAGATATGATGAACAAATTGATAGCAACCATCAACATAACAACTAAAACCAAAGGCGAAAGAAGGAGGCAGAAGTTGAATGATAAACTACTTGACCTTTTATATCTAACAAAGAAGGAATTAAAACATGAATAGCTGGTGAATCTTTCATAACGCTCACCATCTCCAATAGAATACGATTTGCTTCAGAAAGGATCGCATCACTGGAAATACGGGCAAACTTGATTTCTGCGCTTCTTTGGAGTCTACGTTGAAAACCTCAGGAGTAAATGCTGAGCAACAACAGAAACTACATCAATCAATTGTACCTCTAGTGAAAATCAACACCTATTAAGCACAAAAGAAAGAGGTGGACTGAAGAATGAGCAAAGCTTTTCCGGCTATACCCAGCTCACAGCTCCAAATCTAATAGAGTTGATCGATCTATGTCTCGCGATCTATTCAAAATTCAATGGGAAGATCTTCAAACAAACAAAAGGGACGCCGATGGGATCACCAATATCAGGACTGATTGCTGAAACCGTGATGGAGCGGCTGGAACCAATAGTCACCCCTCTCATCAAGCCAGAAAATTGGATCCGGTACGTTGACGACATATTCGTAATTCCCAAGGGAGATGAAATAGAAAACAAATTCAAACTAATCAACTAAACATTTGAAGGAATAAACTTCGCAAAGGAGGAGGAATCCAAGCGTAAAGTTCCATTCCTAGATGTCCTCGTCAGCAGAAAGCACGATGAGACTTTATAAATCCAAGTATACGGCAAAGCCACTCAAACACTGATCAAATTTTGAACTACGACAACAATCATCCTACAGTCCATAAGAAATGTTGAGTACAAACATTATTTTGAAGGGCCGAAACACATTGCAGCATAGAAACACTACAGAAAGCCGGAGAAAAGCACACGTACAAGTGTTCAAAGCCAATGATTATCCACTAAACTTCATCAAAAAGTGATTATCAAGGCAGGGTAATCGAGTCAAATCAATAGGCGCGTTACGTCACCCTATATAAAAAATATCTCGGAAACAGTCAACCGATTGCTTTATCCGTTCGGAGGCGGAATAGTCAACAGACAAACGAAATGACTACATAGCATGTTGGTATACCAAAGGATCCGTTGCTATAACAAGATAGGACAAATTTAACCTATAAAATCAGCTGCAAAAATAGTTCACAACGCTATGTTCGCCAGTCTAGCAGTCGGATTATTCAAAGAATTCATGAACACCAACTAGAAGTGACATGATACTGCCTCCTTGGTTTCAACACATCTAAACGATCACGGTCCTAAATTTGACTGGGAGAATCTGGAAATCTTCCAAAGACCAGGTTCGAAAGCTGAAAGAGAATTTCTAGAGACATGGCATTCAAACGAAAAGTAAATCAACAGACACACGGACATAGACCCAATCTATAATTTACTCAGAAAGAAAAATAGCTATCCAAAAGCAAATCGACCAAACAAATCAATAAGGATGCAGAGTATAACAGTGACAGACGTTACAATTTCACTCCAACAAAGATTATCCACCAGTGTGACTGGAAGAAACTTGAGGTCAAAGAGGTCCAGGTGTAGTAAAAATATCTTCTCTAACTTACAACTGGACAACAATCAAGGTCAATAAAAGCATTATCTCAAGGTTCAAGGATGGAATATGCTACACTTCCTTATGAAGTCAATACTGAAGATGTCACCAAGCCGGGCGATGAAAGGTTCACAACAAAATATCTGAGTTCAGAGAAGGACAAATCAGCATGAGACGTACAAGTTCTCCAATCGAACAAAAAAGATATCTTCCCTCTTAATTATCCTGACTCAGATAGAGCAGTTTTCACACGAATTTATTAAACATCCCTGACCTTAAATCAATACGCATGTGAATAGAGAACTATTTCCATAATTCCACCACTAAAAGGTTTACGTAAAACCGAGTGTAGAAACAAAAATATAAATGAAGTCACGAATACCTGGAGAGGATTCCATTTAGAAAGTGAATTATCCAACATCGGGCGAGCAATTGATGCCATAAGGATAGGCATTTCAACTAAGTCTTTACATTCTTCTCGTATAAGTGACATCCAAGATGAAATACTATCTGACGTTAAGTTCGTAACAGAATCTGAATGAAGGGAAACTTCACTTTCGAACTTCTTTATTAAGTTGAGAGCTTTTTCTAGTTGATTTACTTCAAATTCTTCCTGTTCAACCGTCTAAGAATCCAAAAATAACAGAAAATCGTGATTACGCTCCAAGCTTCATACTTATGCATAAAAATCCAAAAATACTTAACTTAAGAAGCTTTCTGTCAAAAAAAGATGACAAAAATATTTGGATACTTCACATACAAGTAGTGTTTTGAAGGCGGTTTATTATTTTCACAATGTAAGACTACTCGTTTCACAGAAAGACAGAATTAAATAAAAGAGCATTTTACTTTCGTATCGCCATGAGATAAGAGGATATAAATGCATCTGTTAGCAGTTCAAGTAAACTTAAATCCCTGGTGGTCACAGTTTTACCAGCACCGATAAAGAAATGAATATTAACTTAATCCCAGAAAACCCGACTGAATGTTATGCTGCTCAACTGATGTGAAGTAAGAATGCTCGGTATGTGCTCAGCAACGCGCTTAGTTCGAATAGCCTGTATTAAGTGATGAGGCCATAAAAGTGACAGACAGGTGAGACATTGTGTCGAGAAACACAGGAAACCATTATTTAGTTAACTCATTTTACAACACTATCTTCAGTGGTTTAGACACATCCTATTAATGTAATCTATACAATCTTCATATCCAATAAAATTTGTTAGCGCTGTAACATGTAGAAGGGGAAATAACCACGTCGATATTTATGACGTAGGTCTCCTGGAGGTTAATGGACTCACTGAGATTTAATTATATAAACTTCTAATTATAAGCTATGGGATAAAATACAAACACACTGCCGCCCTAACTACAACTCAAATAATTCAACAGCAACACACTTCAGCTTAAAATGTGATCAGACAAGTTACAAAACTAAAACAAAGACAAAAAGTTTGGCGAACGAAGTGAGACGAAATTTTTCATGGTTTTCTTTTTTAACGTTTTACTATCACTATTACTTTCCCTGGTGTTTCTTCACAGGCAGTTTCGTGACATTCACATTATTTTGTGTCAAGCATCTTCTAGTGCTACAAATACGACACGTTTGTATTTAAATAATAAATGAAAAACTCGAATAGCGTTTAACAGCTTGCCTGGGATTGCACCATTTGACAACTTTCGAATCGGTTCGATATAAGGTTCCAGTGATTACGGTAACATCAATCACAGAAAGAACATCAATGAAATCCACTTGGTTTCATTTATTTAAAAATATAAAAAGTAGACAAAAGTAACAGGTTAAAAGTAATCATTGACTTATCAATGAGATCGGCCAAAGGAGGACAGTAGAGGTAAGTACAAGTATCATCTACAGAAATTTGTCAGCGAAATCACAGACAAAAATCAACTTAAAATCTTACTCAAAAATACACAAGCGTAAGTTGTCAGTAATACTGCGTTGTAAGCAGAGGGAACGACAGGAGGTACCTCGTGCAGAACTTTACAAACAGTCGAGAAATTCCAACACTTCGTCTTCAAGCTACAACCCCGACCACAGATCAACACCGGTCCTCTAAGTAAATGACATGTTGAGGTTGGGAAGGTAGCAAGCAACAGTTGCAGAAGCCTTTTAGATTAGCCTAGTGTTAGGATTGGCACAGTTCCGTACTAGTCCAGTTTTGCGGTCTATGTTTAATTTCTGCCAACAGGAGTCAGAGTCGTATTGTTGGTACAGGGGGGTTCCATAGCAGGCGCTGTCTACAGGTGAAAAATAGTACCGTGTTGATACTCTCTTGTCCATGAAAAACAGGGTTAGAAAATATCAGCCCCAAAAATTACAGAACTTCATCTTGTCTGAGGTATTTCGATGCAGACGTTATACGTTCAATTTGTTCAGTGGCGGTAGAGCAATCAAATCTCAATCCAAAAGCTATTGAAAACGTCGTGCATGACCGGTCCTTAACTTCTCATTGGGCGACCATTTCTAACTATTCTAGCTAGCAAAACACTAATCATTCTCTTCTAAATCCACGCTCCGAGTATTATAATCCAGCTTTCAAGGTTCAAACCTTACGCAAAATATGACGACAGGTATCTTTTGCAAAAACTCTGGAATCTTGAGCCATGGATGTGTTTTACTTCCAAAATATATAAACAGCACATAAGTGCAGTTACTCACTTAACCTCGTATGAATAAGGTGGTGCATCTTCAAAATCCACTTCACGAGTCTCTGGAAATTCAATGGTTAGCTAGCTTTCATGGAGTAGCTGGTGTAGGTATAACATTAAGCTCTTGAGTAGAAAGCGCAGTTGTCGACTGGACACCAGTCAACAGCCATCTGTGTGCTATCCCACTGAACAGATTTGTAAGAGGTGAGTCGTGAGACTTGTCGATGTTATTCGTTTTCTCCGCCTACACATCATTCAAGGTTGTTCACTCGAGCTTATACAGCCATGTAAATGGTAATGGAGAGTTAGCATCTGAAGTAACGAGAACGGCTAGTGTTCTCCAGAGATACCCGCTATCACTATTGCTGTCTAACATTTTCATAGATATACTAATGGGTATAACCCTAAATACCATCGAATTAAAAAGTAATGGACTGCTACCAGGAGGGTACTCGGTTGACTTGGAGTGCGTAGATCAAATAGGCGATAATTCTAACCTATGTGACCTCTGGTGTCGGCGAGACATCCGACTTCTTAAAACAGGACCAGTATACTGTGCGACAGTACGCTGCGTTCTGTTGTACAGCTATGATATGACTATTGCATGTAGAAGATTTGAAGAGATCACTGGATTTTGACCACAGATGTCTTTGCGTCACTGGGTTTTTTTTTTTTTGAATCTCCGCGTAATGTTGAGGTAAGGTGTAGCGTAGTAAGCAAGGTGGTTAAGTCAACCGAGTTGCAAAGATTCATCGATGGAGAAACCTTGGACATGTGTTGCGCATGACGATCCACCACCTACTCTAAAGTGCAATATTAATCGAAGCAGGATTGTGTTGGAAATAGGTTAAGTATGCCTAATCCAAATCCTGGAGTCAGTTCACGAAGTTTCTTACTGTCGGTTTGAGTCATGTGTATAGATATGGACTGTTCAGCCTTGGGTCATAGAGATAACAGGAATCAAAGATTGGAGATCCTTAGTGACATGGCTGAAAATCAGTCACAGTGGCGCAGATGTATACAGATATATACACCCCGAAGCCTCGGATATTTTTATCAACCGTTACCCATTTATTTCATTTGTTCCTATAAACATTTGTGTATCTCACTCCGGCATGTTATCAAGTAAGCATAATGTAGCACTCTAGATTAAAAATATAATAAATGAAAAGATTAATTAAAATTACGCTCAAAATTATTCATTTCACATATTGTTTAGTGGAATAATGACCATTAACTTCAGTCCCGTTATATAAAGCTTACACAGCAACATGCCAGATACCGACAGTGATTTCTGTGCTATTATGTATTGATCTATCTGTTTATCCTCTCTCACCCGACAACGTCCAGCAAAAGACATTAGCGGAAGTAGAAAACAATATACTCTTCTTGATATAAGAGCACTGCATTGAATATCTTCACCAGATTTATAGATATCGACAGCAGGTTAAGATGCTAATATACGTACAAGTTGCTTTTTTTCATGAACCTATTGAAAATGATATTCCTAATTCCTTATTTTTGTTTTCATATTTCCCAGCGATTAAAAAATAAGATTGTTTTTAATGACGTTCTCTATTACGACCTAATAGCTTCACCAGAATTTCCAATATCCAAGCGGGTAACTCAACTTACAAGTGGTAGAAAAAGGGTACTAAAAATAGGTAGTGTTAATTGTTTTTAGTAAAAATCAACTTTCGCACGTAAACACATCATTGTCTTTCTGATCACGTGCCGGTTGGTTGTTCAAGTTAGTGGCGGGGGATTGAAGTTTAAGCTGTTTAATTCCCTCAGCCTATATTATATGTTATGAGACTTACCTAATAATTTTTAAAAACTTTGTGAACTATGTAACCCTTTTGATGGTATAGCATGTGGAGTATTTATAACTGAAATCTAAAGTTTCATGAATTCTACTGGATTTCTACGAAGTAAAATGAAAGTATTTTATTTTATAAAGTCAGATTAAGAACGTAGGGCAAATTCTATCTTGGATAAAACCAAGGTATGTATGTAATGTATTTGAATTTTCTAGAACACTCTAATACATCTTTTGAGCACCCTGCTCATCCGAGGTGCGTGACGTGTTTGAGAACTCTTGTTAAAAACCAACCTCGTTCTACTTTTCATTCATTTGGATAAACAAATGAATCTTTCCTGGACAAACAGAAACCGAGATAAATGCTGTAATCCTACACGTAGTAATTTGGAGTACCATATAAGATACAAAACACTCAAATTCCCAACTGGTGATCGAAAAGTTCCTGTTAACGTGTCACTCAACTGCAGTCTCACCTAACGCCACCTGACAAGAAAGAGTGCGAATTGTGAGATTCGGCTTTGATAATTTATACACATTTATTCATCACCTTTTACGATGATGGTTCAAAGGTACATGAAATTCCTGTCATACACCGAAAGTGACTTTAAATAAAGGGAAAATAAACATGCCTTTGTTAATTTTCGATTTCGTGCTCCAAACCAACTGCACGATCTTCTTCGAATCTAGCGGCACGATCAAGTTTTCTAATTTCATCTTCAGCAGATCGCATAATCAGTGCAAAATTATGCCGGAGTGCAGGACAATCAAAAAATGTCCCCTCTATTCGCTTCTCGATCCGATTACCATCAGCATCTGGACCTTCTTCATCTGAAAGCGTAGAGCTATCGCCTGGTCTTTTGCGCTTTTGCACAACGCGAGATAAGGCAGCTTCATAGCCAGAATATACTTTTTGTTCTTTGCTTGTCATGTCAATTACTTTGACTTTGGATAGTGCACTGAATAAAGAATGGGATAATTACGAAAGGATTCAATAGAGAACTATGTGGTACAAGGTTCAGCAGCTATGAAATTGACATCTAACAAAAATACGTCTTTCATCACAGAGGAACGATATATTTCAGAACACATTATTGTACTTTAATAATTTACTGAGAAAGTCAAAATGAATTTTCCCTACCTATTAGTTCACAAAGACTTTGTAAGATATGTGCATAAAACTTTGTCTGAAGAACAGAAAAAGTATTTATTAGTGAAGCAAATGCTCAAGTACCTACATGAAGTGTCTACAGTTAAATCCCTTGAAGTTTCTACCCTGTTGAGGAAAATAATATAAAAAGCTTAAACAATTTACTATAGGAAGCACCAATTACCCGTAAATATTCACAAGAAAAAGGAAATAATGTACTTTTACTCGGTAACTAGGTTGATGTATTGCAGTTTTTGACCATATACTGATCGACTGTAAAGAAATTAACAACTAATTGACTGCCCAAACTAATGAGGTACAATTGCATTTAGTATATACAAAATCAGCTCAATATGTTATACGTTATGTTTATTGTCAGAGTTAACATGTGACAGAAAACTAAATCCACAACAGAGAGGGTGAATTGAAATCTTACATCGAGAGCTTGGAAGATAAAACAAGTAGTGCCAGGAGGTTCAACCATAACGTGGTACCTTAACAGTAGAATCTTGGCAATCTATCAGCGAATAATTCAATGCTCGCTTATCTGTTACATATAAAACACAGTAAAGTAGTACTATCTATTGAATAAGGTTTCACTTAGTCGTTCAGTCAATATCAAAAAAAGACCCGACGGTCGAAGCTGATAAACCTCGAATTAACACATCACAAGGCAATATGACGGCAAATACAGAAATGGAAATAACCCATACTTGACTGGTTTGTATAGGAAGGAATGATTTTGAAGCAGTTTCAATAACGGACTGACATTGGCCGGACAACCAGCAGTGCCCAGTCAAGATCCTGTGAAGTCGAAACACTTGTCCGTCTTAGGTTTTCAATTCATATATAACTTAGTTAACAAGAGTCAACTGTTTCAACTTAGACATCTAGCTTTTCAGTCCTCTGCAAGCAACTTAAAGACTAAATTATTTTAAGCAATAAACATGGAAGGATCATCTAATGAACAAAGTTTGTTTATGTGTTAGTTTGTAGGGTTAATTGACACTAACGTTTCCAAAATCCTTTTTCTGATGAAGGATATAAGGAAAAGCTCTATCATAACCGTGCATATAATAACATGCAACCATACAACAAGATTGGACGACACGGCAGTCCTTAAAAATAAATTAATTGGAAAGACATGGGTTGGTGAACGGATATTTTTTGATTTAATTAGCTACTAAAACTTGCAGCAGAAATGTCTCCGCACATATGTAAGTTATCTGGAAAATTCTATATCTTTCCTAAGAAAACTACTGTGATTATAAAAACCAAATCTCACAACTTACAGGTTTCTTGATAAGACCACGCATGTTGTCAATAGTAATAGTGATAATAATAATAAATAATAATGGCGACGAAATAGTTAAGAGTTTGGCTACAACGTTTCAGGTCCGTCAGATTGAGTGTTTCATTACTTTAAAAACAATCCACTGTTGTATTCGTCATTAAAACCTTTTGCATAGTGTGCATGATAATCATTGGTGTATAAATGTGCTATAAGTAGTGTGTAAGTAGTGGCTCTCATTGTACTTCACGAGCTCCCAGAAACCAGTGAGGAATTGGTCTGCGAGGAGTAGGCTCGGTATCAATGACACGGCGGATGAAATGATGACATGTTTACACTGCCAAATACTCGAACACCGACACCCGTACTCCAAGCCAAAGAAAGTTGTGTTTCTTGATATTACGGCTGCCATCAATTCCATTCTAGTTTGTTCACTACATATGTCACACAGTGAAACAGTATTATCTACTGGATAACGTTCCGGACAAAATCTACAGTCTATATTCAGGTATTGCCTTATCAATCATTAATTTGTATCTCTTGGCACCCGTATTTTACGAAGTTCGTGTTCTAGTATTAGTAGAAATAATAAATAATATGGATAGTCAATTCGGTTTGAAAAACTTTCCGGTACGTATTAACTGTTGCACTGAACGACACATCTAACAAAATATCAAAATTAATGCAAAATTATGTTCGCACTACAACTTCCGACACTGGCTAAAAGCTAGATGTACTGACTTGGCTATAAAATATAAAATATGACTTGAGTGTATGTAGACATTGGCAGACACAGCTGCAACAACCTCCTCTCTTAATTAAATAAGATGACGATAATAATGAAATTCTGAAAATACGCGGAAGTTACTCCATGCACTAAAAAGAGGATAATGACCCATATTTAAGCTAATACACTGTCAGCAAATGACAAAAACAAACAATCCTATGACTTATCCCGGTAGTCAATAATCTGATCACAACATATACTAATCGACTTTGAATAATGAGATTAACACAGTAGTTTGCTTAATACTTGAGCTAGTTCAACACCATTTCGACTGTTTTGCAAATACCTGAGTGTTTGTAACGATAGATGCACTTTACAAAGCACATCACTAATAAACAATAATTTCGTCATCTTACAGTCATGAAGACAAAACGCCGCTTATACAGCTACTAACACTGCTTTATGCTTGTCTAAATGAATAGCTGGACAATATCATAAGTATGGATAATAGTCAAGTATATGAACACAGATACCTGGTTGAATTGCATTATTCTATTATATACAAACAGAAAACTCCTACCTGTTTTCAAGGAATATTCCATGTCGCTTCACAGCAGCTGCAGGGGTCGCAGGACAAAGATCTGCAACGAGTTCTTCGGCAGTTTTATACTCATACACAGGTTTTACTAACTGATTACGTTGCGTCCCTGGTTTCTTTTTATAACGTGGTCCACCTATACGAAATACAAAAAAAGGAAGGAATTAAGATGAAACTGGCACACATTAAAATAGTTTTTTTCGTCTAACTACGCCTACGATGCAATATCTCTTTAGATACTTAATTTTCAAGATATCGACGTTCCGCAAGGTTTCAACTGCAAATATAAGCCTGCTGTAATTACCGCAGTTTATCCTAGCGAAGAGCCAACATTGAAATGACAATAGTTTAAGCAGTCGAATAAAATGCCTTATTTTTTGAAAAAAGCCGAACGTGAATTAAAGATAAAGGACAACTATAAAACACTCAAAATATTCCACCTTTTTTATGAACTATACTTCTCGTTGGAAAGGAAGAGTGATTTCTATTCTAGTAACACAAAAAATTAAGAGTGAAGGTTTAATAACATGATTATATTTACTAAAAAACTGTATCACTGTGTACTATATCGTCTAGGCTACTCCAATATTGAATTATACAACAATGCAGCCCACGAATTCTATACTTACATTATTGATTGTATATTTACCTTCAGATTTTGCCTTACCGATCAGTACCAATTCCAACCACTGCAAGATCTTCAAAATTAATGTAACAGATGGATCAAATAGCTATAAAATATCACGGAATGGAATTGGTAGAAAAATGAGGTGTTTTTGAAGCACCTGCTTGAAGGCTTACCACGCTTTGGTTCGCATACAGAAAAAAATCAACGTAGAACCTTGCACACAAGCATACCAGTTCAAGTTGTTACACTTCAAAGTAGTATACAAAGAACAAGTGAATAGAAAAGGATATCAAAGTAAATGGAATAGTATTAGAGAATAAAACATTTGAAGACTAGGTTAGTGAGAATATTCAAGCTTTAGATGTCAAAGAGTGAATAAATCTTTATTGTGACCCATTTTAGGCCATGTTAAAAAGAGCCCCCAACCACTGATTCCTGTCGTCTCGGGTACCCCAGCCAGGTAGCCTACATCTCCCTACACGGTTGAAATCAACTCTGAGACACCATGCACTGGTGCCACGCTTTGGTCTGACCACTTTGAGCCTTCCTCCAACTTAGTCCAACTTCCCCTAGCAAGGCACGTCGAAGTTTGCGGTGACTTTAAATGCGCAGTATGTGTTCAAGCCCCCTTAGTTGATGAAGGTTCATAGCCACCACTAAACAAATTACACAGAAATAAAACTTGAGGCTATATCAAAGTACCTATTCAAGAAGCCCCCGTATGACAACGTATAGTAATGTAATCAACCGGGAACCACAAGCGTTATTATATAATAATGTGCATGACAATTTACTTTGTAATAGTGATAGGTACGTCACAACTAATAAGTAAAGTCCCAGTGAAACGGACAAAAACTCCTCATTGTTATATAAGTGTAAGGCATTCACCCTCATTCAGAGACCTAAAAAATATTCAACCAAAAATTTTCGCGATGAAAACAACATCTTCCAAAGGAGGATATGATTCTCTGCCAGTAACGAGAATTGGGAGTCGACATATATGATAAAAACAAGAAGAAAACGCCAGATGTTAAGATAAAATGTTCTGCAATGGTTGGCATACAAATTTGAGGGCGAGATGAAGGATGTGCTGATCATAATAGAATTGACTGAATTATTTCAACTACGATGTCTAAGCGTCAACCTCAAGTATTCTAGAAACCTAACTAAATGTTACAGGTACTATGCAACATGATTGCAATCAGTAGGCTTCTGTTGCCTGTGTAAAAGAGCGAACAGGATTAACATGAAGCATAGGATAACTGTTTACCGATCCAAGCTTAACAAAAGTATCTTATAATGAAGTCATTAACAGTGAATACGAAGAAATGATAACAGCCGCATTGAAACTCAAGGAAAAAAGGAGAAAATTGAAGCATAAGTTTCATGATTATGAATGTAAGATGTGCAGTCATGTGAACCTTTACGACTGGTTTGAAATCATGTCACTTTTAGTCACCAACAAGTGAGTTCGACTATCAAGCTGATCCCAGTATGTAAGCTTCCAGTGTCCCCTAGAACTTAAAGTCCGATACTAGTGAAATTATTACCATAATTTCCTCTAGTGTGTCATGATAAGTGCTTTAATAACCTCAGTTAGTGCACCTTCCTACTCTGGCTCCACCATACACTGACCATATTGGTTAGGATCACAATGACAAGAGGTAATATCTATAGCATCATTTGGTTTTGCCTACTGACCTTAAGTGAATAACAAATCAACCCCAAAATCTTCAGTACAAAAACAATGCTACTGGTTTAAAATGCTATGCTTGCCAGCACAAAACTGCTGAAAACAAAAAAGTAGACAGTATATACACAAACAGTGCAACAGTGTTGATTTAGGATAGTATTGAAATATACTACTCAGTAAACTACTCACTCTGTTCTCAGTTTCGCCAGCCAGATCAAGGTGATCTAAACACTATACACAGCTGTTTTACCCGTTTTGGAACAAGACCATCAGCGGTATACATGGACAAATTCAGCTCACAAAGCTTCAATTGTGGAAAACGCAATACCTACACCATGCAATCCACGTGAGACAGCTACCCAATGAGTCTCCAGACAATCGTGAAGTGGATTTTCCATATGTTCCACATTGTTCAGGTGAGGCCATATGAATAACCACACTTATATGCTGCGTAAATCTTTCGGAAATAAAAGGCACTTATATGGCTCCAGATTCCAGAGTTTTTGCAAGAGATGCATATCGTCATATTTTACATAGAGTTCAAACCTTGAAATCTCCACTGTAGCATTGGCAGCATGGTCTTTAGGTGGCAGCGGATGGGTTTATGGATAGACTCAAAATGCGCAAATAATCTAAAACTCTCAAAAAACCGCATTTGACCGACCTCAAGCAGGTGTTTTATGGGCACAGCCATCATGCACTACTATTATTTACCACATCTCTTCCAGTCACCATGAAGTAACTTTCCACAGTGCGGGCTGCCAGAAAGCACCAACTTTCCCAACGACCATAATATTTCTTTCATACCACTATCAACCTTTAACATCTTTGCCTTTTAATTTTTCCTCACTTAAACTAGTCAATATCCGCACGTATCCTTTAGTAATCTGACGCTCTGTAGCTCTGAATAACGATACGAGTTCACGAAATGGTATACCCTCGTCCCTTTCAACTATGCTTTAAACTACATATTCGAGCTTTCAATGCCCGAACCCTCCACCAAATTGGCTAACAAGCTTTGCTATCCAAAGCTCTGGAGTCTTGAGCCGTGGGCATTTGCTGTATTTGTGGAATGTGCATACGAGATCCAGGTACTGTTATCCCCTTAATCTCATCCGGCCGATGTAGTGAATCTCCAATATTCACTTTAGCGGCCAGCGATCTTGCAGGTTTAGGTACAGCATTAAGTCCTATGGCAAACAGCAGCCCATGCCCTTTTCCACTGAACGGTACAATGAAGACTAAGAAGAACAGTAAAACGTGTCGGTGTCTACTTGCACTCTTTGCTTACGCACCGACTGACCAGCTCGCATCAAGCTGACATATAGAGCGTTTATCTAACACAATTGTGCTCAGAAAACCGTTTATTACGGGCGCATACGAACCCAAGACGTTAGACAAAATATCACCTGACTTTTTGTCCGCTGAAGGCTTCTAAATGATGGACTTAAGCAGACCCAACTACTACGAGTTATCACTGGAGGTTGCTGGGACACTGCCGCTCCTTCTTAAATACGTGTTTGCACAGTGATCGTGTGTGTATCTGAGGTTAAATGTACGCAGAAAAAATGCAGCAACGATTTAATGAGAAGCGCAGCTCAACGGTGAGACTACTTAGGTTGCTCTTAGCGAAAAACCGATTAAACAGTTATCGTAAAACAGGAAGACTTTCCTCATCCTGTAAAAGCTAAGTACCACTTCCAGTCCGCTGTAAAAACAGGGTTAAGAACCGTAACTGGATCTCGGGAAGAAGTCAGGAAAGGTTAGGGGAACTCAGCTGCTTCTTCTGAATCAATGGATGCGCGTGAAAGCAGTCCTGTAGGATCCGAGCACAATGAAGAGCAGACACAACTCAAATGTAGACTGATAAAAAGACTACGCAATGACTACGAGCAGTGGCTGGTGACGAAAGTGGAATTTATGAATATGATATTAGCATTAGGCAATACTTATCAGCTAGTAATTCCTATAATGAATACTGCCACAAGAAGACAACCAGAATGTTGAGCAGAACACTACGAAGCATAGCTCAATAAAGTTACGACAACGCTTTAGTTGCCCACCATTCAGCTTGGACCTGAATGCGATGTAGATGTTAGCCTTCAAAATATCCTACACGTTGAGAAGGCTGTTTCAAAACTGAAACTAAACAGAGGAGTATGACCTGACGATTTTTCATACGAAGTTTCTAAGGATGAAGGATTAGTCACATCAGGTTGGACTAGATGGTTGACCATTCCCATTCATATAAAATCAGTTTTCTTGTGACAGCACAGAGGAATCCGTTTAATTGGTATCGTCTTTAAGATCTCTATGTCCATATTATAACGACGCTTAACTGGATTCCATAACAAAGTGGGGAACACCAGGTGGGTTTCATAACTGGCTGAGAGCAGGTCGACTAGACCACCACCTTTCGTCAGGTTTAGAAAAAAGCATACTTATCAGCATCCGACAGCTGTCATATTTTCTGACCTGAAGTTGGTATATGACTTCTTTAACCAAGATGTTATGGTAATGTTTGTCTGGATGGGGAGTACTAGGATACATCACGCTATTCAAGGTTATTTACACGATCTCATGCAGCCATGTAAGGGCCGGTGGAAGATTGTCACTTGAAGTAGCAACAATTAATGGTGTCCTCCACAGACACTCGCTATCACCACTTCTGTTTAACGTCTTTATAGATTTAATGTGCATAATCCTAGGTAGCATTAACTTCATAGGGAATGACCAAGTGGTAGGAGGGCAGCTGGTTGACTTGGAGTACACAAACGATATTGTTCCGTTAGGTAATGACGCTGACAATGCAAACTTCTGAACGGCTAGAACAGAAACCTGAATGTTCGACACGCTCTGTACCTGTAAAATGCAAAACGATCTACACGAGCTTCCAGTTCAAGGATAAGGAGTTAAGTGATAGAATGCGTTGACCAATTTACTCGCTCACGAGGTTGTATTAGTTCAAATGAGTTGGCTGTTAACGAAATTTCAAGTAGCGCACAAAAACCTCATTTGGCACTTTTCAACTTAAAACATCTCTCGTACCGGAAAGGAATCCCACTACCTATTAAAGTATGAGTATACTACGCTGCAGCCAGCTCTTACCTTATTATATTACGGAGACACCATTGTTGAAAGTAGATAAGTGACAGGTTTTAACCACAGAAGTCTTCGTAGTACTGCTCACGTATGAAGCAATCACAATGTGAGCAATGTTGAAGTGAAACGAAGGGTAGTAAACAAGTCAGCTCCTGATTTCGTGGACTTTTATCAACTGAGGTGGCTTGAATATGCTTTGAAAATGCCGATTCACCGCCTACTCCGACGTCGAATTTTAATGAAAGTAGGATTGGGTTGAATGCAGGTTCAAGGTAGTTATACCAAAAAGTTGCATCTACCAAATGAGTTTCTCATGGCTAGCCTTAGGTGTTTATAGAGTAGAGTGCCTGGTTGAGGTTCTCGAGGTAATAGGAACCAGTGATTAGAGACTTTATGATATGGTTGAATTTAGTCACACGGGTGCAAATACATTCACTCCTTGATGTCTTCCAAAATTTGAACATTTTCCCTAACCATAACTTTGGTATTCTTTCTCCCTGCATACACTTGTGCCTACCGTGACATTACTTTCTAACTCTGCATGTTGCTACGGTGTGACAACGTGAACTCATGCACTTCAGTTTGAGGTTCTGCGTTGATTTCTTGTCTATCTGACTAATCTATTCATCTGGAAGAGAACAGTAGCAACGGTATAGGTATGTCAAATATGAATTCTTTGCTTCACTAACACCATATGTCCACTCAAAACTGAATAAAGAATGAGTAGCGAAAAAAAAATTACGATTGATGCGGGTACATACAGGCTACAAGTCTCCGTCTACTAATGAATGCAAAAGAGTAACCTAGTAGGTATTTGCATATGAGGCTACCAGATACAAGCTATGCAAAATCATCTTGCAATCTGCCAGCACGTTAGGTAAAACGAACTCTAACTCCTTACCGAGCGACTGAGCTAGAGTAACAGCTTACCAGTATCCAACAACGCTCAGAGCGAATTACAAAAAAAACTTACTGGAACCTGACTCTTCCACAACAGTCTCATTACCGCGACGGGGAGCAGCAGTCTTCTCTGATCCATAAAACCCGACAGACACTTTCCCCACTCTTTGAACAGCCTGGACTGGGGTAACAATACCTTGACCTTCAGACCCTAGTCCTTTTCCAGGTTCGTAGCCCATTTGTTCTAATAGCTTCATCCCAATGCCTTTTGTATGCCTCTCCAGGCGCCAAAACCAGAAGTTGATGACTTTGCAGCTGCGGCTGCCACTGCTGCGCGGCGGCCAGCACCAACAGATATGTTTGGCTTGTTAAACTTCTGGCGTACACTAGATTCTGGAGAGTCTGAGTCCGAATCATGGCAGGGACGTAAGCTGGAAAGCACGCGTTTATCGTCTTCTTCATCCGAAATGGGATCAGCTTCTTGGGCATCAGTTTCCTTCTGATCAGAACCACTTTCCGCACCTAACTGGAACACAAAAATAAAAAAGCTAATGCTATTTTGTCTGAAAGAGCCTAGGAAGACATATATCAAATAGGACAATAACTCAGGACAGCTGTATTAATTCACTAGACCAACAAGTAGCTAAAGTGGACGATCGTGGAAGTGCAAGCTGAAGAAAGAACGCTGAATACAAAAAAAGCTAACATATGTCTGCATTACAAATAAACCAATTGGCACACTATAGAAACACCACGTCAAAACTGCGTAAACAGATTTTGGCACGAATGCTCAGTGAATGTATGCAGCAAATATCTGATGCAGAAGGATAAGGCAGAGCCGAATTTAGTGGTGTATTTCGGTAGACAATTGGTAGCGTCAAATAAAATCCCAATGTACTCAAAAATAACACGCATATGCATGCAGTAGGTATTAAGCCACCCGTTTAGAGCTAATGGTACTGCTTGATTGCCTACATCAAGGAAAGCGGAGCGCAGTTTGAACCCGTGACCCATTAGTTGGAAGTCGAGTACCTAGACCAAAAGCAGCACGGCTTCACACTATATACACAACAACAATATTTAATTGCTAAGGTGTCATTACAGAAGACCTGAGTGAATAACCAACAGCTATTTGTTATTCCATTTAGTCGACTGAAATACTTTTGACACTGACCAATTGAAACAACTTCGTTACAAAATAAGACGGCGATTTCTAGTGGTGGCAAGTTCATGGGGGAAAACCTAGCATAAGCATTGTGAGACACCGAATATGGCCAGTGTCTTAAGACCTACTCAAACCATAACATTACCTAGAAATTTCAACTGGAATACAGTCATTTTCAACCCGTATTATGTGTATGTACAAATCTATATACATATCAAATGAATTTTGATAACAGGACTGCAGGGAAATGTGAGAGCTAAGTATTTTTAAACTTAAATGTCACAATAACCTTAGCTCGCCAGTTTTACGGACTGTTTACAGGATTCAGGGTCAGAAGTGATCTATCTTGTTGAATTTCATCAACAGTCACCGGCCTGCCTCTTGACATAAATAGACCCTACCTTCAGTCCACCACTGACAAAGGTGATCGGTGTTGAATAATTGGCACCCTTACGCTTGGAACCAGCATCACGTCTTCCAAAACCACTTAGTTCGGTCTCTGAATCAGAATCGTCGGATGCAAAAACCCCATATATTGTCTGCTTCTTCGTCTGCTTTCTTCTTTGTTGAAGAGGATCCATCATATGGGCATAATCAGCATCCGATATTCCAAAGCTCTCCATTTCAGGCGACGACCCCATTCTTGCAAGAATTAACTATGAATTTTGAAACGTCAAATCCACAGTTGCTCAGTTCCAACGTTCACTGACAACAGATTTATTTTTACTTTGAAGCAGTTGAATTTTCGCAAATAAGAATATTCTCTTATAGTAACTGCTGAAGAACTTGACCAACGTATATCCTCGGAACTAATAGAAAAAGGAGAAAAGCGACGCAGGTTGATTTAACCGCGACCTTTGGAATATTCAACATCTTTTAACGAGCTATGGTAAATCATTTCATTTCTTTGCGCTCGCTTCTAGGAATTACGGAACGGTTTTAGGTCTTTGGTCGATTCTAATGCAGCAGGTCTACCTACTCGCCTGCTGTAGCTCTGGTAAGTTCGACGGTCGGTTAGGTGTTGATTAATCAATTTAAATTTGAAAAGACCTTTTCAAAGACGGAATGTCTAACATCCAAACGATTCAAAATGGCTCAGTGGTTGTTGATGGAATATAAGGAGCTTACTCCTAAGTGCGGATAACTACTTCTTGTGATCGTTAAGTGTGCCGATAAAAATCGAGCGAAACGTAGCGGTTAAAACTTGAAAAGTCATTTAGTTCTGAACAAACTCCACACACATCTGAAATGGTTGTCAGACTGGCATTCGAAGGGTTCAGGCGGGGCAGCCTGAGTCGTCTGTGCAGAAAGGGCACTCCAGGGTTTGACAACTCTTAAAAAGTAAAAGTTGTGTCAGATATCTAACCTGTCTATAGATGCTTTCTAACCTGGATTTGGCCTTCTGCAGAGATATAGGAGGGTGATGATCTTGAACTTCAGGTGAGGTGGCAGAATGTATTTAAAGTTTGGTGAAAGTATCCACAAAAATTCATTTCAGGGTTACTAACTGCAAGTTACTAAGACATTGATTTCTGTTGCCGTTGGCATAGAATTTCGGGTCTTGGGGACTGAAGCGCCTGAATACGTCTCCCTCAGCGACGCTTTGCGTTCCGTGCCATTGAGGCCGTGTGCATGATATGCATCATGTTTCCATGTAACACCTCACACTTCTCTAGAATGAGTGGCAGCCCATCACTGACTGTCCAGTTTTGAAGTTGGGTTTAGTCTTCTTTGAGAGAAACACTGTCGCCAGCATCTCCGACTTCTCTCCATGGTTTTCTGCTATCGGCAAAAAGAAGTAGTTCGTAAGAAACCTGTTGAGCCAAGTTACTGATGCACATTAGGAAAAGAAAGCGCCCTAGCACTGAACCCTAGAGACTCCACTCGGTCATTCTGTTCCTTTAGATATAGGGGAACGCACTCGAATTCTGAGTGGACCACTTCGTAGATGTGAAGAAAACCAGTCACTGAGCTGTGGTTTAGTCTCAGTCGACTTTAATTCAACGCCGAAAGTGTATACCAACAAAAGTTCGTAGAGCATATTGTTGCCTGTACGTCAGTTAACAGTGTTTCGCTTACCAGAAAGGTAGTAGCCACATAAATTGAAGGCCAAATCTCTTCCACTCATTTAGGTTTATTGACAGATGTTGTTGATTTAGACGGCAGTGGTAATAACATCTGCGATATGCATCTGATCCCAATGAGTGCGTCCATAAAACCTGCATCAGCCAGATACAATAACGCTGTTAAGCCCTTTCCCTCCCCAAACCTCCCACTTACGATGATGAACTCAGGGTGTATTGGTGACGCACAGTCTCCAATCGCCATGTTCCAGAGATCTAGGCCTGAAGCACCTAGTTTTCATTTGCCACCCAAGTCCATGGCACGCAAACGGGTTATTATTATTAATACCATTCCTCCCTTGGGCTCCTATCAAAAATGGGGCTTCAGCAGCACGCCTCCGTTTCACCCCGTTCTCTGCACTCTCCTGAACCTGGCTCCAAGATTGCCCACAAGCTTTCATTTCTTCCTCACATGACCACCTCCATGGCACCCTCGGACGTCCAACTCATCGGTTCCTCTTTTAGTTGCACTCGGGGGCCTTGCACTTGATGTCCCCAACCGGCCTTCTCAGTGTACCCCAATCCACCCCCACTTTCTTCTGCACATTTGTTGGGCAACGGGTTCTTGGTTGGTTCGTTGCCAGCCAGAGTTCATTGTTGCTTATTCTTTCTGGTCATCTGATCTTCAGCACTGAGCGTAGACAACTGTGGACGAATGTCTGTAGTTTGTTGAAAATGCTTTTCGCAACGCCTCAAGCTTCTGAACTACATAGAAGCACTGACTTCCTTGACTGAATTAGCGTTGAAAATCCGGATGTTGTTCACGCCTTATGCTGAGTGCAGTAGATCTCCACACTGATTTCAGATTAACGAAGGCCCGTCCTGTTTTCTTTCCGACCCTAGCTTTGACATCCTCATCACAAAAATGAGTTGGTCATCCTAAAAGTAGTTACTTTCAGACCGCTAAGCCTAGAAGTGATAATACTGTTCACAGAGTAACTCCGTTTTTCTAAACAGACACGATCGCGAGGCCTATCAACAAGTCTGCGGGCACTATGGCCTCTTCATCAACCAACAGAAAAGTGGGATTCACGAACCACAGTAGTAAGAGGAAAAAGTCCACACGTGAGAAAAATTCTGAGACATATGCCTCCAATATTCATGAGAAATGCCAGGTTTTTCCCCACAACTACCTACACAACATTAGACTCCTTCACAAGTTCATTCCAGAGTAATGACACTGCCTGTCAAACGTTAGCTTGCTGTTCATTCAAAGCCTACGATGCTGGATCCCTAGCATAACACCCCATACCCTTTCCCGCATAGAAGCGCAATCACCAATTTACGTCACTCACTTCAATCATTTCAACAAACATCCAGACCTTGGACTTATGCCAAAAATCCATGTATCCTTGGGCTGCACAAACTAGTAGCACATTCGCTGTTCGAAAAGATGTTTTTGAGCCATCTACTTTCTACCCAAGCCCGCAACCAATACAGTCGCAGTGAAGGTGTCTCGGTGACCTGTTGCTCTCCTGGCTTACATGTGGCATGCAGATACCTGACACAATAATTAGTAAATAAATGTTTTATTCTGACACTAAAAAACCTAACGTGAGAGGAGCCAGTTTGCAGGCATCACAACGTCGATGTATCTCAAAATATCTAAAAAACTTTGCGAGTCCCGAATGGCACAGACGGAATGTCATTAAACTCTTCTAAAAACGGCAGAAGATCCTGCTGGTAATAAAGCGAACAAAGAAATATCACTTTTCAGCGTATACAGAGTATTAAAGTTGCGATGATAATAAATACTATCCTCATATAATGGGTTTAACACGACGAATACCAGTTTACAAGCACCGTCAAATTCAAAACTTTTGAGGGTTTACAAGATGGCATTTGGTATTAAATAATTCATACATCAAGTCATTGGTGTGCATAATCTTATAAAAATTTGTTGAAATTCATGAGACGAACATTGATTTTCATCTCCCATCACATAGATAGGTTACACTATCAGTATCAAAAGCGCGTAGTGTTCAAAGTTTGCCTTCTAACCAACCGACGTTTTAAGTCTATCTGAATAGTTTGCTATTTAGTAATGCAACAGTCTATTCCCTGGAATGATCTTCAGTTTTTAGCCTTGCTAACCACAAAGGACACATTTATACAATCTGGAGTATCAGTAAAATATCCACAGCTATATAACCAAGGTGTACGTCTACGTCAATGCATTTCCAGGCCACCTCGTTACGTTTAAAGGTAATAGAAATCAATTCCACCAAGATCATTCGTTTTATTGGAAATGGTCAATAGTCCAACTGGCAGCATTTACGCGTAGACTTCGGGTACTTTGTGTATCAGCGTGTGTAGCATCATTCGGGAGATGTATTTGTTGCATATTAACTTTGATATGAAAAGATCACTTGATACAGCGTACTAGAAGGTATGTAGTGTGGAGATACTGCAGGTAAGTCGCGTTTCGAGCCAACAGGCAAACTGGTCGCTGGTGTAATTATCTGTTCAGAATGTCTCTGCTACCACTCCCGTTGGGAAAGTCTAATCGGTTTGTGGCAAATAAAAAATCGTGGCCAGTGGGTTAGTTAATCGTGAAGATGGCCCAGAATTTGTAAAAGAGTGGGAGCAGCGCAGTAATTATTGGCGTCTATGAGCAGGTATTATTTCCACAAAGTAGTTATGTTCAGACCGAATGACGATGGCAGCTTAGGGACGCATTCTTCCCCTACCATACCCCCTAAACCTAACTCCATCCCTGTTCCTCACCACTACTGCCCAACCCAACCTACCGAAACGAGTGGCATCGAAAACATGTTTAAGTAGTACCGCTTATCCACTTCTCCGGCCGTCTTCCTGGTTAGCTCTCGTTCCATACGAAACCAAACGAGTGAGATCACTCCTGCCTAATATTGATCACTGAGACTGGGTGCACTTCAGATATTCCAGTCAATGATGTCTCCATCGGCGACTACACTGTTCCGAGCAGGCAGATAAAATAGTAGAGGTGGCGGTTGTATGATCTACACTAGGTCTGACGTTGCTGCAACGAATTAAAGTACTTCAGAACTTAATCTCAGTGACTAACCACTGGTTGTAGTGGAGTTTCTAAATACCATAACTCTCCTCCTAGGGTGTATCTACCACCCCCTCTGCTCAACCGTAGATTATCATGTCAGGCTGGATGAAGTATTTACCAGCACGACAATACTAGCGTACTCCATGTGACTTGTATATGAAGACTTTAATATGTCTGGTATCATTGAATGTCCACCATCTCCCTCCAGAAGTTTTGAAAATTCTATCGACGTGTTGACTTCTGGGAGTGGTGCGAACACGTGATGCACTAGGCCTCGTTTTCAACAATGGATCACTGCTCTTCACTCACCAAGTCGGTCCGGAACTCCCAGGTAGCTATCACAGGGTAGGGCTTGGTGACCTCTGGCTGCCGCTCAGTAGTGTTCAACCCCCGAATACAAAACAACCGTGACTGTATGTTAGATAAAATGCTAAAGGGGATGAGATGTAGTACATATTGCGATGCTTGGGCTTAGGCTTTT